AGCATATTTGTTTTATTTGCATTCATTAACTTTTGAAGACAGAATAAAAAATGATTGAAAACACATTTATTTTTGTAAAGAAAATGATGAAATATTATTAAAAATTATTGAAAAGATGATCTCATGAAAACAAAATAAGACACGGTGCAATGGAAACAAACTTGGCCAGTGCCTTATGACAAAAATGTCACCCATGATGGGTGATAATGTCAGTACCTTAGCCAAATCTTCCATGTGGACAGATGCCATCATGAGAGATTACTGCAGATCCATTTCGATAAACACAGTTATGAATCGCTGTGATTGGAGATCTCCACTTCTAATCAAATCAGACAGAACACATTCAGCATCCTGTCATCCAGTCCCTCTCTCTCTGAGTTGGCATAAAGGAGCAAAACAGATATCATCACTTTTGTCTCCACATCTCTATGAGTGTTCTCACTTTAATCCACAGAGAGTAACTTCTTCATTATCGTCTAAGAGCTCACATTATTTAACAAAGCTAAATGGATGTCAGGATTCACATGAATGTTAATCCAATTAAAATCTTTTCATGCTGGATTCCTTTCTAAAACAGTGTTTTGTTACACACCTGGTGAACAGGTAAGCCTAACATTTCTTTTTTTTGACAAAAAGGAAGAAAACACAAAAAATCTTGCAAATCTGTTCTCAGTTTTGGACTTTATAATCCCCCACTTTCCAGAGAAATTAGGACGATTTTACTGTTTTAGGCCAGAATAGTAACGTAAATGAAACCATGTGAGAAGTTCAAAGATGATACCTTGCTTTGATTAAACAAAATAGACATCTGGAAGTGGCACAAACCAAAAAGGGGGAATCACTGCTTTATTGTCAAACATTGCATCATATTTTGTAAGTCTATCAAGCGTAAAATCTTAGATTGGCAACTGAAGCTGCAATAAACATAAGTGAACTAGAGTGGATGTATGTACATAAAAGGAGAACCCATGGGTGTAATAAAGGAATACTTAAATACAGTACAAGTACTCTGAACTGTTTAAACTCCAAACATTTTTATTTCACATTCACAAGAGGGCAGTTTTTATTCATCTGTGTTTTATGGATTCTGGCACGATCAAAGCCGGGGTTCCACTGAAAAAATCTGCTGAGGGACTTCCTTTTGAGACACACCTCCTCTGGCATCATATCCTGTCTCGTGTAATGACATGTGTGATATAATCAACTGCATAGGTGGGTGTGGATGTTGGAGTACACACATGCACGTGAAAGCAGACATGTGTGCGCCTTACACAAACACATACACGCTCCTTGTCCTTGAGGCCCAGTTCTGGCTGCGAGTTCTGGCTGACCAGGACCAAAACTGACTTGAAGAGACACATTTACACACAAATTTTCACCCAAACAGATGTAAAGAAATGAACTCATTTGCAGTAAACAATGGCATATTTGGCTTTAAAGAGGGCCTGTGATGCGATGCTGTCAGCATGTGTTTGCGATGCACCATAAAGTCATCTCAAAATGCGCGACACATGGTTGCAAACTGCACGTTTCTATCGGCTGGTCTGGGATGCACGTGCTGTGTTTTTTTGTCATTGGCAGACATAATATTTATAGATAGGATGATGAGGGACATTGTTTCCATGGAGTATAATGACAGACACACATTGCACACTCTCTCAACCTTTTGGAAACACACATCTTTTATGACTTTTTCAATTACCCCTCAAATTCTGTTCCATGAGTTCTTGTTTATATGTCATTGTTGGGACTCAAACTCTAAGACCCACTGCTACTGCACGGATTTACCCTCAATCTGAGGACAAAAGGTTTGGTCTCCCCAACTGGTTCAAGGTTTGAGTTTGGTTTATGTTAAAGCTCATTAGGATTTGAATGAGAGGACTGTTAAGCTAAAACCAAACCAGACATTAACGCATGAGGTGGCACTAGCACAGGAGGTAGAGCGGTCGTCCAATAACTGGAAGGTTGGCAGTTTGATTCCCCGCCTATCCCCAGTCTGTCTGTTGTGTCCTTGGGCAAGACACTTAACCTATCTTGCTCTCAGTGTGTGTGTCCTCTACTGGTCTGTGCCTGGAGTGTTGTGTAGTGGTGGTCGGAGAGGCCATTGGCGCAAACTGGCAGCCACATTTCTGTCAGTCTGTGACTCCTAAGGTAGTTTACCACCACCAGGATGTGACTGTATGAGCGAATGAATGATGTATCCAATGTAAAGTGCTTTGAGGGTCTCTGATAAAGCGCTATATGGAATATGATGCATTATTTTATGCATATGTTTTTGATGTGCTTGTGAGCAACCGTTGATTATGGTTTCAAAACCCTATTTCACTGATCGGTTTCTACAGACAGTTCCTGTGTAAATGAGAAATTTGAGTCTACTGTGTGTCAGATGTACTCTGAGTATTTACTTAGAGTTTTATGTCAACATCCGTCTGTGTATTCAGAAGTACATTATAAATTATAGATTTGTCCATCCTCAAACCTTAAGCAATAAATCTGCTGCTCTGCTTATGGTTTCATTTTTGTTTTTCACACTCCAGAGTCATTTCCAATCAATTCCTCTCTGATGAAATGGCCACAACAAAAGTCTTTGTTTTTTTCCACCTAATCCCCAAAGAACACATTTTACAAATTTGTCGAACATGTGTTCCACGCTTGACTTTCACAATTATTCATATGAATTCTTATTTATGAGGGGGCTGACCCAAACATCTTTTAATCAAGTGAATTTACTAAAGACTCAGGAGTGCAGATATAAACTCCCAATGAATGAATAGACATGCCATTTCTTTCTTTCTTTCTTTCTTTCTTTCTTTCTTTCTTTCTTTCTTTCTTTCTTTCTTTCTTTCTTTCTTTCTTTCTTTCTTTCATGTCAACAAGATAAAGCAATTTTTACCAGCATCTTAGTTTGGGAATCAAGTGCAATGCAATGAGATGCACTTTGTTTTTGAGTTTCAAACTTTTTATTCAAATAATTGCTGTACTGCTACAACAGGATTGTCAAAAATCCTTCTTACAAGAGTCTCGACTTGATTTTATGAACTGCACTTGGGTCATTCACACTCTCCAAAATAGCTCTCCCAGCTTGCTTTTGTGATGAGGTTGCCAGCTGACATCAGTTAGATGAAGTTGCATCTGTATGCTAAACTTATCAGTGGTTGCTTGAGACCCCCTTGAGGACAAAATGGTGAAATTTCATCCTAATGGAAATGTTTCCTCAAACTCTATGTACCTCTGTACTAATAATACAGTTTCTAGGAATTCTGACCCTTTTCTCTGAATTCTGGCTTTCAAGTCAAAGTGAGGAGAGTTGAAAGTCAAGACTTCTTTTTCAGACTTCAGAGTTCTTACTTTAAAGTCAAAATTCTCTGAAAAGATCAGAAGTAGGATTTTCCCCCAGAATTCTAACTTTGAACTCAAGTTGGATTGTGAGTAAATTAGTCAGAATTCTCTGAAAGAAGTTTGAATTCTGAATCAATCATCATTGATTATTAATTATTAAATTATTGTTTCTGGCTTTTTACTGTAAAGCACTCTGGTAGGCCACTGGCTGTTAAATATATGTAATATGAATAAAGCTGACATTGGCATTGACATTGACATAAAAACTCAAAATTCAGATTTTTATGCCAGAATCCCGCATTTTATTTATGGAACTCTGAGGAAAAGTGAGGATAAAAGGAAAAAATAAAACTTAATTTTTACTTTGACTTTGAAATAAAATGAAGAAGTCTGATGTTTATTCAGGTTTCTCAGTTTAAACATGAGAACTCTAAGGTTATAGGTCAGAACTTGGAGGAAGAAGTCAGAATCCTGAAAAGGGTCAGAATACTGAGAAAGAAGTCTGAGGTCTGCCTTAAAACTCAAAGTTCTTACTTCAAAGTCAAAACTCTGAGTCCAAAGTCAGGAATCTGGCTGGAAATGAATTCAGTGAAAAAGACGGAATTCGGACTTTAAACTCAGAGTTTTGAGAAAAACGGCCAGTCTAGAGAGTAAAATCAGATTATTACATCGACGTTAAGAAAACATTCTAACCTTTATTTATAGTGATGCTAATATTTTGTTTTGTTGCATTTGATTAAGTCTGAGTTGTGATGACCTTATTCATTCAATAGCTTGAGTCTGGGAAAACTATCTGCAGAAAATCTCATCATTCAGGCAGGTCCAAAAATCATTTGTAGTCATCGTAATGTCTGAATCCAGAGTAGACAGTAAGAAACACTGCAGTGATAGCCAGAGTTTTGCACAGATATGCATTATGCATCCGCAAACTGACATTTTTGTCTGGTGATATCTTTATTGCACTCTCTATTATAAACCAGAATTCTATTAGATCTGCGAACTTTCATGTAAATGTCATATCTGGAATAACATTACTAAGATCCCAAGAGTGCATGAAATCATAGTCAGTGTGAGAAAGGCTGAGATAGTATAGAGGGGAAAGAGAATGACTATGAGAACAATGAAAAGTGTCAAAAGGCCCCTGCAGATGGAAAATAGAATCACTTGGACCACATTAGAGAAAAAAGCAGAGAGAAAAAAAAAGAAACAGAAAAAGGGGGTTGGTGTTAGGTTTGGGAGGGGGATGGGGATGGGGGTGGGAAGCTTGGAGAGAACTTACACTCCTTTTGCAGAGAAGTAGAGTGTGAGATTGAGAGGGAAATGGGGAGATGGGGAAGGGTAATGAGGGAGGGTGTGTCCAGCTGAGCCTGTCCCCTCCCTCCATAATAGAGGTATAGATGGTGCAGGAGCATCCAGAAGTCCAGTTCAGTGAGCTGCACTAGTCCTGAGAACCAGCTGCTCAGAGAAGTAGTCCAGCCACTCCAGAAATATTCAGATCCTAAATCTTCCAGCTGCAGCACGAACCAGACTCATCTTGTCAGCACAGATTGACTCAATCATTCCTGAGAAACAGCTACTTAATTCTGCACCACACTCCTGCTGTGAGACCTCCAAGCTCATACAGACCATCATCATCACACCTGAGACTCAGAAAAGAGCTGATGATGGGGAGGCAGCAACACCCACACTGCATTCTAGTCCTTCTCCTCATCGTCTTCATCATCGGGATAGCTCTCTCTGGCTCCCCATCTCCCCGCAGGAGCAGAGGTAGGTGATGCTTGCATGTATGCATGTGGGGTAACGTTTCTAAAATTTGGTCCTCAGTGCTCGTATGTATCCTCCTACAGTCGAAGATACGTACAATGAAAAGTAAAACTTTGTATGATTCCTTCATCTGTGCTATTTTCCTCTTTGGCCTATTGCCAAATGGATGCTGGGATTTGCCTGGAAGGATGATATATCACAGCTGCTGAGACGGGGGTTTGTTTTTAGAGAATGAAGATAAAGAGTTTAGTAGCTGTTAAGAAATAATTGATTACTCTGAATATTGGAGACAAACTGACATAGATTTTGAGGGGAAAGTAGTTATTGGAAGCCTGTAATGTGCACATTTTTTTTTAGAACCAATGAAATATCAAAGTAGTAAAACAAAGGAGGCTAAAATGTGCTGATGAAGAAAAGCAGCGTTTTTGCAGCTGGTTGCTTTTCTTCAGACTTCACACAAAAATTGGTTGCAATATTTGGCTTTAATAACAGGGGACTGATTGTTTCTAAAAAATTTGTTTTCTGTCTAGGGAGCATAATAACCTGCAATTGCAAGGTACCATATTGTGACTGCAGATAAAAAAACTCTTCAACCAGTTTTTTTTTTTTTTTTTTTTTTGCATTTCCCCAAAATAAGGTGAGCAGACACAACAAAAGTGGTCACTCACTGCTAGTTAGTTGCACTTAAAGTGTTTCCAGGTTGCAGGTCAAGTGTCACACTTGTAGACGGCCTGGTCTTGGTTTTCCTGGTACTGTGCCCACCAAGCACATACATGTTTCATCAGTACTTTTATTCCCCCAGGAGAATGATTGTTTATTTATAACAAGCTCTCAATAAAGGCTTCTATTAAACCATCCAAAGAGCATGTTTGAAATTGAACACAGCCTGTGCAGCAGAAATAGAAGCTATGGTTTAAACCACATGTCTCTTAAAAGTTGAGAAGTGCTCACATTACCAAATCCCCACTTAGAGATTCATGTCACTTGTTTGAAGACAACCAGTGTCACAGCTCTTACCCCTCTCATCCCCTACATGGACTGTTTTCTTTCCCGAAACACCTTCAAGGAAAGCTGCCTATGGAAAGTTTTCTGTCCATGAATATCCTAATCAGACAAAACTTTTTCCATGTTGCCTCATTATCTCACTGCTGGGTCAGTGCGCACTCACTCACTCCTACATGCACGCCGACCCCAGGCTTTGTTTCCAGACACTATATGCTTTGCAGCCAAGCTTTGTTTTGCTTGTGATATCTGGTTCCTTTTGAGGACTTGTAGAAGCGATGTTAGAAACACAGACTGGAGTTGTTATGAAGAGGTTTACACTGCAGAGAAGGCTGCTTCCTCTGTGTTACTTGCTGCTGAGCTTGGCTTGCAGACAAAATTCAATGTGCAGCCTTGGAAGATAGATGAAAGGGGTTTGTGTGAATGTGTTTGCTTTGGATGGAGAGTTTTAAAGTCTGTATTCCTGTTCATCTTGGACTAAGCCTCTGGTTTTGGGATGAGAAATGTAATGCAATACCAATGAGGTGAGATATTATGGATTAGTACATAGGTCTTAGAGTATACAGGTGCACTGTAACATGGCCTGAACTCCCCAAGACTTGAACCCACTGTGCACTACTTTCCACTGACTAAACTGTGATAATGACATTATTTTACATGTATTTCAGCCATAAGATTGAAGTGATCATTAGTTTTAGTTGTGTATCAAAGTCATTTTTGGCCACTAGTGTATAATGGTTTCTGAAAAAGTTTTCACTCACTTAAAACTAACTCAACTGGCCTGTTTGAGACGGTATCAAGGTTAAACTGAGTGTCCTATCTTAACACTTATATTTACATTAGTTGGATGATCCGGCCTAGACTCTCCCATTAATGTCATGCTTCTGCTGTCCAAGCTACCTGAAATCTACCAGGGCAAGAAGAGTACATTAAAAACAGAAGTGGTGATGTACAGGAAAGTCTATATTTATTTTATTGGACTTCACAAAAAGTGTAATCAACAAAAATGACCAAAACAGAGCAATGGCTAGACATATACGCATGATTCAGCTCGTCTCTCAGGATAAAAATGTACAATACTGTCATCTATTAAATACTTAACAGACAACAACCAGTAGCTGATTGTGGTTTTGTCATTGACCACTGATCTCATGGCTCAGTTGAGCTCACAGATCAAGGATCGCATTTCAGTTTTGGGGATTGACTGACTCCACCTCTATGCAACTCATAGTTTATCATGCATCATTCATCAAGTCTCGAAAGGCCTTATTTAAAGACTAGCCTAATTTATACAGACAGTCCTAATCTGGCTTTTACATTGAGTTATTGAAAAACTTAAACTTAAGAAAACAGGCGAATCACTACAGACTTAAATCCCATACAGACTCTGAGTCATCTCCTGTGTGAGTGCACGTTAGTGATCCAGCTGTGTGCACTGGCTTGAGTCATGTCAAGTGTTCCTGTGCTCATATCACGTGTCTAAGTGAATTTAATACTCTTGTATTCCTGCTCTGCTTGTGTTTTGGGGCTTCTACAGTGTCCCCGCTGTCACAGCAGTGTTTCGATCAGTAAATCGCATCTGGTTTGAGATGGGTTGAATGGATGGTGTTACTGACATGCATCAACAAAATGCATCAATGACAATAAGACTGTTCTAATTTGTGTTTGGGATGCAGTTGTTGCAAGTAAGTAAAATATTATCTCTGCACCCTCAAAGAAGTTAGAGGAATGCATTGCTTGTGTTTTGATGAACAAGATGCACAATTTGGAAAAATGTGAGTTTTGCATGATTAGCTTAAATTACCACATTTTTGGTCTAACCTTTTTATTCTCTTTCACTAGAACATACAGTGTCATAGTTTAAGTGATCAAAGATGTCTTTAAAAAAAAAAAAAAGGTTGGCCCTCATTTATCACCATTTTCATTAACAAAGTTAAAACTACTTAATATTAAAGGCACAGTTAGTCTACACAAGGGTTCAGCTCTTAAAGTCCCACTCCGATAATTTACTCAATGGTCTTTAAATTGTGATTAGCTTAAACCTGTGTAATTTTCAAAGGCTTTTCTTCCGCAGAGCTCCAGTAGCTCATTAGCAATTCGCCTCTGAGTCGTAGGTGGAGACAGCGCTGCTCTGCACACTCATCTTCACGCAAGCTTGTAGTCTAACATTGAAGGAGATATTCAGCTCTTAGACACTAATGTCTTTATGGGCACGATGAAATCTAATATCATAATTGGCTTTCTTACGAGAATTGCAATCAGCTACCACATAAACTTGTTCCACGGTTGTTCTCTGTATTTCTCTGAATCTGTCCGGCATAGTGGGGCTCTGGGGGCGGGGCTTGGAAGTGTGACATATGAAATCCAACTGTGTCTGAACCTGCTGTTTAGGTCTGCCAGATATCACAACAATTTGAATGCAGAAGTACATTTATTTTTTTCATGATATGTCCTGTAGCATCAGAAAAATGCCCCATGAACATGTAAAAAACAAGAAAAACACGATTTTCATTGCAGCAGGTCTTTCAGATATTCAAAGTTTTTTGTCCTTACCATCATCACGATTGTATACATCTCCAGAAAACTGCCAAAACCTTGGTCACATTTCACATACAGATAAAAAGGATAAAATTATGGAGGGAGAGCAAAACACAGAGGATGACCCTGATAAATTAAACTTTAGGATGTTGAAAGAGTATCAGGTTGATGCTGACACATATAGGACAACAGTGATTGAGTAAAGGAGTAGAAGGATGGGATGGAGCAGATCCACAGGGGAAGAGAAAACAGCTGTTCCTCTGTTAAACCTGACAGGGGAGATATACAGTTTGAAAGTGGAAAGACCAGCAAGGCCAGGAGTATAATCCCAGGTTTGGCCATGCTGGACTAAAAGTCAAGGCTTCTTATGAACCTGGGAGATAAGATTGTTCCAGAATATCCTGCTGGATATTCAGAGGGCTGAATTTTAGCAATAATCAGCTGGATTGAAATATTCCCATTAGAGCTAATAAAGGTCAGTTCAGCTGTCCTTTCCCCCCCAAGCTAAATTATTTCATATCCTCGTGCTGTGGCTGGCGTGCGTCTTAGAGACATTTTCACACTTCATTGCCTTAAATGAAGGTGACTGTTTCACAAAGGAGCCATAAAACATCTGTCTGTGTCTCCACTGTGTGGGAAGCCAAATCTCCTCTCCACCTCTCCCCTTCCAGAGCAGAAACCCGAGAAGTTGAAGTGCTGTATGCCAGAGCCGCATGAAATCATACACCATGCACGCACGGGAGGGATATTGTATGCATTCATGTTGGTGTGTGGCAGGAAGGGTGTCATCTACAGTCAGTTTGATTGATGGTATAGACCTGACATGGTGTGATACATGGGCGCTGTTAGTCATATGTCACAGCAATAGTGAGAGTTTATACCCTCATTTAGTCAGGGGGATTTACAGTCTGCAGAGCTCAGCTGTGAGGTCCAGCTTGTCAAGACAAGACAAACAGACAGGGCGTCATTACTCTGTGTCATCTCTATCCTCCAGAACCGACACGTTTTCTTCAAAAAGAAAAAAAAATCTCTTTTTTACTGAATCTTCTGGAAGCAAAACAAACCCTGGTCTCCTGCACCATGAAGGCTGAGCTTCAGATGTGTACAGTTGAGAAGTTTATGCATTAAAAAAATTGAGTTTTTATGATCTCAGTGTTCTCTTTACTTGAACCCAGCCCTCCTTGTCCTCTGAACCATGAGCATTTGAGCACGAGGCTGGAAATCTGTGGTTTTGATCATGTCAGACAGTAAATCATGATGTTTTCATGCCAGGACTGCTCATACTGTACAGATCAACGTTTTATTATTTGTTTTCAAACACACATACACATATCATGCTGCTCAGCAGCTGAAAGTATAAAAAGAGTTTTGTCATGCTGACAAATCCATTAACCCACTCCTTCGCCCGCTGTATCATCTGTTCCTAGTGATAACCGCAAAGACTCAGCTTGTCAGGCATGTAGGTTTACATCTTCCACTTATGAGGACCAGAAGATTTGGAAACCTGGTAATATGTTTATTGAATGATGTGGCACTGTTTATTGCATAATCTGTTTTGTTTACTGGCTGACTTGAGCGCTGTGATGGATTTCCCCGTATTGTAAGCGTTACTTAATTCTCTGCATGAGGCAGAAAGTTTGCATATGTCATGATGGTTTAACAGGATTAGTCTTTTCTCTGAATTCATTGTATATTTTAGTAGAATATTACTCACATTGAGAGTGGGTATGATTTTTGTAAAACTATAATGTGTGACCAGCGCCACGTAATATACTGCAGATGTGTATGAAATTACTGTTAGCTAATTAATAGGCTTAAAGCTCTTCTCTTTAATTTCACAGTTCTCTGTAGTTACTTAGATCTCTTCATTGTTATTGTGACTATGTCATGGTTGTGGCATTCTTTTGTGACTTCTGCATGTTGTGTTGTGTATCTTGCAACACTTTGGGCTTATTCAACATCTGATCCAGCCTTCTATATGATTTGTGAACTTGGGCTGCCATAGCTTTATACAATTCTTGTTTGTTCACAGAAGATTGTGAAGTCTGTAAAAGAATAAAGCTGCTCGCTCATCATTTGAATATACCTTATATCTTTTTCAACATGCTCTCGCACACTGAGGGCAACTGAGATTGATGATCGGCTCATTCCTGTGGAGCAACTTTGGGGTCAGCATCTCGCCCCAAAGTCACCTCAAAATATAGACCAGAGGATCCAGGACTTAAACTGCCAAAGCAGCCCCTTAAAGTGTATGAGCTGCAACAACAGGCTCTGTTTCCCCCTGCCAGGCCTGCTCAACGGTCCATCTGTGATTTCTTGAGGCAGTATTGTGGGTTTTGCTCTACTTCAGCTCCATGTCTTTTGGTGAGGTTGTGAAGCCTCAATGGTCCCATTTGTTTGACAGAGTCAAAGTCAAAGGGCTGCTCTTGTGAAAAATTTATATTCAGAAAATTACCCATTATTTTTCTCTCTGTATACCAAAACAACCACCCACAACATGACCATGGTTTAGTGGTTTCCTTTGTACCGCTGATTAATTCTGTGACTGGATCGATAACTGAAGCTTATTCATTTTTCCGTGGAAACACTGATAAGTCTCTACTGTCCCAGTGAAGGCCAAGTAGCTGGGCTCATGTCGAGGTGTCATGGGACTGAGCCAGTACTTGCTTGTACTTGAGTTAAAAGCACACTGCCAGAAGTTTCCCAATGCTTCATGCACACTGAGCTCCTTTCACTCTGGGCCAATCTCACTTGTGTTCTATCAGAAATATTGATGAGAAAATCAAAACAAATGCAGTTTTGATAGAAAACACATCGCTGGAAAAGCACAACGGGGTTTTTCCTTATCCAGGGCTTCCCCCTCTCACTCTCAGCGTCTGTTTTGGCGTCTCACAGCTGTTGGCATTTGTCCTTAAGCAAAGTTCCATTAAATCATTTAATGCTGAAATATTAAACAAAGACATGTGCTGCTCAGAGTATAACGCAGCACAAACCGAAAAATCCAGGAAAGCAATTTTGGCCTCCTGCAGATTGGGTTATGGTTACCTAAGTCCATAGACTGTATAAATAAAATGCACTAAACCATGTGTTCCCTATATGTGCACTATGGTATTTATCATTTTAGCGGTTGCGAACTGTCAGTCCTAAGTCACGCCTCTGGCTGAACAACACTCAGCCTCATTTTCTGATGTTTATTAGCATTCCTGTTAGAAACTGTCTAATTGTTAGCAGTGACATTTTCTGGCTGGTTGCAAAGGCCAGATGATCAAGGCGAGTGATTGATTGAAAAGTAAGCAAACTCAGTCTTTTGTTTGCACGCGTAGAGTCATTCTGTTGCCTGTCAGATCAGAATCTGACTTGTTTCAGACACAAGTCAAGCGAAAGAGATTTAAGATGTATTTTTTTTCTTTGTGTTTGTTTTAAGGATGACAAAGTATAATAGCTGGTATTAAAATAGAAGGTACTGGAAAATTATACTGTAAATAAATGAGGCTGAGTTTTAGCGTTAGTTTAAGAATAAGGATAATAATAATAAGAACTTTATTGATCCCTGAAGGGAAATTCAATTGTCTGTCGTCTCATTTGTCATGTCTCTAAAAGGTATCTACTATTTACAGAAGAGTTATAAAGTCTGATGGCTGTACGTACAAAAGATATTCTGAATCTTTCTGTCCTGCAGCGAAGAGAGAGGAGCCGTCCACCACCATTGGCCCTTTGGTCCATCAAGGTGTTGTGAAGTGGGTGATCCATGTTCTTTAGAATAGACTCCACATTCCTCAGTGTAGATCTCTCCACCACTTCCTCCACTGAACCCAGCTTTAGTTTTACTTGTTAGGCAACTGAAACTTTGATGTACTGGCCTTTTAAACACAGGTTCAGTGCTGAACTCCACCTTTGAATGCCCGGAGGATTTCAACTTTGAAGGTTTAGTTTGAAATCAGATATTTAATTTTCACAGATAAGATGTTATCCTCTTTGTTCATGCTAGTAAAGGGTTCATTTTGTTGACTAAGGAGTACAGCCACCTGCCGCTCTGTCACTGGGCCACTGAGCTTGCTATCATGCTCTACTCCCTGGTTGTAAACATGCACAGATTAAGAAATGGTGATAAAGTTGAATGAAGGATGTGTCTTGTTGAACTGGAATATAAACACTTGATCTGAACCACGTGTATCCAGCACAGGCATGTGGGCTTAAACTTGAAAGGTTGACTGAAGACTGGTGGTGCCAGCACTTGCCTGAATCCCAAGCCAATTTGACATTACTCACCTGCAGACTCCGGGATCATGTTTTGCCATGTTGAATAATTTGCGCTCAATTTGTTAAGTTTTTGGAGTGTTTTCTTTCCTTCAAACGAGGCAGTTAGTCAGAATTTAATTTTCCATTCAAAAGACCAGAAGGTTGGCTGCTACGGAAAAGCACTTGTTCGTGTATTTTGCAGAAAGGCTCTCACTGTGCAATCTCTGACCTCCAGACCAAGTCAAGTTTTTATGGTTGCTTTCCCTGGCGGTAAAAGCAGTCTTGGCTTTGCTTTATTCTGACCCACCCACTTATGCCTGTTCTTCTCTAATGCCTGTCCCACGGCTCTGCTGATTAGGACTGTTTTCTGTAGAAGTCAGCTCTGGCAGAAAACGTGAGGTTTCTTGTAAAGTGATGTCAACGTGATAAAATATAATCAAAATGTGCCAGCATGATTTCATACCCTTTTTTGTCCACTCAACACAAGCTTGATGATGCCTCGCTGAAAGTTTAATAACTCATGTTAACAGATTATATTTCAGAGAGACTGTTTACATTGCAGAATTTATTTCTGGACCATCAACGATCTCATATAAAAGTTTTAATATTTGATATTTATAAAGTCTGTGATTGTCAGGTTGTTAATGTTTGTAAGCTCTGTAAAATGAATCCTCTTAAGAATGACAAGTTTAAGGACTCCTCCAAGGATTAGTACAAATAATCAGAACTAGTACTTTTGTTAAACTTACACCAGAAACAAGTCTGCTTTGATGAAACCCATCCTATGCACGCACTTGCAAAGTTACAGGAAGCATACATTAAAAAGTGTGGACGTTAAGGTTGTAAAATCACATTTATTGAACTCTTTATTTTGCTTCAAATATTAATATTATGATGGTGTCAATATCAGCGACAAACAGAATATGCTGTATGTGGTTTTAATAAAACAACGATGTCCTCTCCTTCCTCCCCAGTGAGACGTCAGAACATGAAAGTCCGCATCAACGCCACAGGAGACACCATCGTGATGAAGTTTTTGCGACCTAACTCCGACACCAAGCTTGAGGGCTACATCCTGGGCTACGGCAGCAGTATGTTCTCCAAACAGTTCATCCAGCTGCCTGAGAACGGACAGCCGTATGAGACAGAGTTTGGTAAGACTATTGACATGTATCTTTGCAAAGAGATGAACATCTGCCATGACTCCCATGACGCACATATGAATCGCAATTCGACCTTTTTAGTCATGGCGAAGAGGAAAAGATGTATAGGCTCTTGGGATCTATAAATTCTAGTTTATAGCCATAAGGGTTGAAAGTGAAGCCAATGTTGAAGTGCCAAATCCTCCATCCTGTGGCCACTTTAGGTTTGAGGCAGATCAACTTAAGTCCCCTTTGCATGGCAGCTGTTTAAGGGAAGAGTATTTGTATTACACATCTGTTATGGATTTAACCTATGGAGAATTAAAGGACAGGATGTTATGTTATGAAATATTTTTCACTTCAGGGCAGGGATGTAAATATACACAAAAACAAAAGTGGGACAAAAGACAACATAAGTTTCATACCGAACTTGCAAAAGTCATTTTTTTATTAACCTGCCAATTTGTGGTGTGAGTTAGTCAGCTGTTTACCATTGTTCTGCTTCTTCAGACTCTTAGTGTTGGTATATGGTGTGATATAAAGTGGTACTTGAAGTGTTCCCTAAAGGCTTACCTTTCACTTTGCACTTTGGCTATGGCCAAAATTAAAAACCCAGAGCTTTACATCAGCAGGCCACAAGTTGTTATTTTTATACTCAGTCAATGTCTCCTCTTTAATTTTAGATGCAGAACCCAAGTATCTCATCGCTGTCCAGCCCATCCCAGTCAACGAGGTGAAAAAGCAGTGCACAGGTAATGCATTAGCATGAAGCTGGCATTGTAAACATGGAATTTAAACATAAACACAAAGAAGTAAAAGTAAAATGCTCTTTGGTCTTCAGGGAAAGTGGAACTGGAGAAGCCACTACACTTGGTCATTGGTTCAGTGACGCCCACCTCAGTCCTCCTGTCTTGGGGGACTCTGTTGAAAACCCCCTATGAAAGCAACGTCATGAATGACTGTGTCGAGGATGGGTGAGTTTTCACACTAATGCACACATTTCCTACTCTTCATTCTCCACCGTCTGTGTATTAGGTTAGTAGCTCAGCAGCCATCTTTATTCTACAGAGAAACAGCTGGTACAGACTCACAAGTCTGGTCTTCTGAAAAGTAGTCTCACTAATGGACTGTGATTTCATTTTCAACCTTTTCATTTCGTGAGTGGCAGTTGTATTGTAGTTCTGGTGAGTATAAAACAGATGGTGGATGGTTTCGCACACACACACACTAAGTGAATTTGTGCACATACTCTGGTATAACTACCTTAACAGTAAATGCTTCCCTAATGTCTCTCAGGTTACCTAGCAGAGAATCCAGAAAGGCTGTGCAAACAGGTGTTAGGAGAAATGTCCACCCACAAAACATATGCAGCACAATTCCCCTATTCCAGAGAACTCTGAGAGCCGTTTCAAAAATTGGAAATGAGAAACACTATCTCTGCTCCTCTTGTTTTTTTTAAATGTCCAAATAGTTTCATGTGCTGATCATAGGGATTGAGTCATTTCTTGGGAAGACTATAAGAGCATCAGGAAGTTGTATCCTGACTATGTTTTTAAGCAGTCCCTCACTCAGGACTTGCCTTGGCGAAAAACACACCGTTTATGGTCATCAGAGAACGAAGCTGTTTGGAGGCAGACACACCACTGATTCTGACTGTTGTTGCTAAATGCATGGTCAAACTCGTGTAAGGCTGCATGGTTCAGCTGAAACATATGTCTACTGTAGTGGGAAAAAAACCATCCCCTCCGGCTCTGAGGGCAACATCAGCAAAATACTTGCAGCTGAGCAGTCTGCATGAGGGTCATTTCAGCATGTGTTTAAACCCAGGATGTATGTATGGTGCTGTTATAGTCACTATGTCTTAAGTGATACTGTATGTAACAGGACTACATACAGTAATAGCCCTCCACAGTGGCCCTTTGTTGTCATACAAGATGCAAGGAAAAAAAATATTTTACAAGTCCTGGCTGCTTTGTAGTAGGTGTAGTGTCAATGCATCTCCTAGTGGGACCCATTTCCTCCCTTTTGGTTGCATACCTCCGTTTGAGATGTTGAAGTAAACCAGGGACAAGTAACAAGGACTGTTTGAGGACTGACCCAACAAAACTGCACCAGTTCCTAACTACTGATGAGACTTTGGCGCCGTGCCTGTGTGGAAAAAAAAATCATTAACATAAGCAGACGGTGTTTTATGTGTTATATGGAGGTAAATAATTCCCATCAATCAACTTCTGTTTTCTCTCCTACGCTCAGACACTACACAGTGCGTTATCGTGAAAGGAACAGGAAGTGGAACTACCAGACCTGCCCAACGAGTGACACTGTCATTGACCATCTGAAGCCCAACACGGTGTATGAGTTCGGTGTCCAGCCCAATACCAAAGACCGCATTGGATCGTGGAGCAAACCGGTCCTTCATAACATAAGCTCAGGGGGCTTACAGGGTGTGTGGAACCAGAACACCTAGATTCCTTGGAAATTCATGTCAATTAGAATCATGAGTCTTGTTGACTTACAATTTAACGACACTTGTCTTGTTTGATCCAAATCCTGGATCTGATGGAAACTTGTGCCACTGCTGCAGAACTGTTTCATCTAAACTTTTCATTTATTATGCAGGACAGCCTGCTCACAATGATTTATTTTCTGTTTTTTTTGTGTGTCCTAATAACAGAAAAGGCCATCAGGAAAATTTTTAAACCTCCTGTCAACCCAGTGGTATGTATTGGATCCATTTATACATCAAGGTATACACAACCCATTATTACTGACACAACTAAAGCGTTTTTTTTCCATAGTGTCCTTCACCAGAGTCTTGATGCACTGATGTTTGACACAGGTTGAAGGTTTTTAAAAAGTGTCATAAGTGAGTAAGACCAGAGTGCTTAGACTACGCAGGTTCACCTCCTTCCCTTCCAAATAAATATTTTTGAGTTCAGGGTGCACATTTGAAAAAGGCAAAATGCTTTAGAGTCCATCTTGTGTACTTTGTGAGCTTACGCTTTTCCGAGGGTTGTTTGCCTCATTAATTTTCCATCCAGCGGCAGAATGGAAACAGCGCCAGTGCAGCCAGGACCAGCTGAGCCAAGAGATCAGTCTGTAGCTCACTAACTTTTGGAGTGGAACAGAGTAAGGGGACAAATAAGGAGATGAGAGGGATGGCTAGAGGGGTGAAAATGACGATGTTAAAATGAGTTTAGAGGAGAAAGGTGGCACTGATTTACCGACAGTGCAGGGGTTATGTTTTACAGGTTCCCAGCTCGACTCGTAAAAGATCACAGCTGCTGAGAATCTGCCACAACACTTGCTCTCACACACAGAGAGATGTTGAATACCAAGCTTCTCACCAGGGATTTCAACAATTAGACATGGAGTGTTATGAAACACAGAGGAAGCAGCAGAGAGAAGCATGAGGCTGAGTTCAAACGCTAATACCAACTTGTTGCTGTGATAACAATGACTAATGACCAACGTGTCCCCTTGTTTTTTTTTCTATGTTCCCCAGAAACCTCTAACACCGGGTCCACTCTCCTATCCCTTTGCTCCTCGCCATGGTAAGTCATGAGAGACTTGTCACTATTGATCAACCTACTGAGCCCTTATAATACAGCAGAATCACAGCACTGAAGTGTCTGTTTGAACTCTGCTCACTGACTCCTGCTCAGGACGTAAAGTATTTTAACTATGACTTTGATTGATTGATTGATTTTTTGCAGATGCGACCCAATCATAACCAGTCTTGTTCTTTAAAAATGCAGTTTTTTTCTCTGATGGTTTATTGCAGGTACAGAGTACAGTTCAACCAGTTTCAAACTTTAACCATATGTGGATTTTTTAAGCAACAGCTGGTGTCAAACTAAAGATTCACGTTGAAGTGAAATTCTCTGTGCACGAAGCGCATGCTCTGACTGCCAAGCCAAACTGTCATTTCTTTGAACCATCCACCGTCCAGTATTTTCGTAGAGATTTTGATGAACTTCAAATTCATGTCAATGTCATGTGAACAGCTTGTTTCTGCGGCCCCCAGGGGGAAAAACATACAGTCTGCTGTGTTTCTTCACATTTTAACTTGATTCATAAACATTTGTCCTTTACATGACTCTTTTTTTTTGCAGTTCTATTTGAATGTCATATGTCTGACACTTTCACCTAAATCTCTTCTTCCATGTTCAGTTCCCCTTAACAGGACCCAGGGCAGAGTGCCCCTGTCCAGGAACATTCCTCCAAAGACAACTCTTGGTAATTCATTTTCTGACCTAAAGCTGGGTTCAGAAGTCAGAAAACTCTTGAATTAACATCTGACCATTCAACCTGACTTCTCCATTACTGTCCAGGAAATCTTACCTCCATGTTGTTATGTGCATATCGCAGATTTTTGCACTTTCTACAGGACATAGAGTTAAAATTTGTGTCCTAGGTCTGCTAATGCACACTGTATTTCTCAGCTCCAACCACAACTACTAGACAGGAAACTCTGTCGACCCCTGGACCCACACTTCCTGTGGTCACCAAACAGCCAATTGGTAAAGAAAGAATCATGGTTGTTATAAAATGCTTCATGGCTCTCATCGTGGCTGTGTGCAGTCATAATTTGGCCTACCTTAACTGAGATGCTGTTACTGCTTTACAGTTTACTTTGTAATGAGCTGCATGAGCAAGAGCAGCATGCTCTGAATCAGTACAGTATTTAGATCCTTCCCATGGGAACCCTTGGTGTCAACTCAATGGGCTGTAATGACAGCAAGGTAGGTGGCCTTGGCTGCATGGCATTTTAGCAAAATGACAAACTCAGAGGGGTTCTTAGATTCTGCTAAATACTCAGTAAAAATTACGCGATGACTTTCAGATTGGTCACATCTCAAATGTGGACAGTCTTTGTCTGGCTGTGTCATTTGTGAATCATTAACACATTTATTCATAACACTGTGACTGTAAATACATTGTAAATTTCAATGCTCTGTTTACAGTTTGATGTATCATCTCCATTTAAGCTGATTGCAAATCTGAGGCTTTTGCTTTGTTTGCAGTGCAGGCAAAAGTGTAAAATCTGCATGACAAAACTGCATGAACCAGACATTCATTTCTCTCTAGCAGGAATAGGCAAAATTTTTGTTTACTACATTTCTCATTGTTGTGTTAACTTCTTCCTTTGTTTCCTTTTATAAATCACATAAAATTATTTTTTTTTGCAGGTAGCGTCAGTTCTTTAAAAGAAGCTAAACTTCTGTTTTTCTCTCTCTTCCTCAATCACTTTGATTTTCTTTCTCCCTCTTTCTTTTTCATGGAGGAGAACTTCTAATTATATTGAAGAATCAATCTTGTATGGTACATCAAAATGCCATAGTACACAATCAATCAGTAACTATTAAAGTCCCACATGTTTTAGCTTCTCAGAGGCACAGCCAATGGATTTCAATGGCCCTTACTCGCAGACATTCAAGACCTGGTAGCTGTGTCTGTGTGCAGTGACACGGCTGTTACATTGCAAATACCTCCATATGGTCTGTCTGCCTTTGAAATCGGAGATAAACGGCAGGTAGAAGCTATTATGTAACATTGCTTTAGTCCAAGATTAGCTTTGTGAGATCTTTGGCCAAATGCTGTTGGCTTTTTTATGATCTTGATTTCAGCTGTTTCCTGGCTGCCTTTATGTCTTACTTTTATTCTTTTCTAGAGGAAAAAAAATGTTTTACTCCATTTGAAAGAGATCCTTTCCTCTTGAAAACGTAGCCTGAAATCATATTTTACAGCATTTTGGCTTCAATGCCATGTTTTCTCTCTCTCTTACGTAACCCAACAGGAGAAGACCACTCCAGACCTATCTTGCCTCCTTCCCTGGAGATCCCGTTAGCTCCCATACTTTCTCCACTACATATTTCAGCCACCATGGCACCCAAACCTGTCCCTGAGAAAACTGTGATCAAACATGGATATCCTTTGAGTAATCCAAAAGTAACGTCCCAGTCCCAGTATAGTCCAGAACCTCAACCAAACCCACAGTCGCGGCCAGAGTATTCTCATCCACCCCAATCAAAACCCAGAACACCAAAACCTCAAATTAAGAACTGGTCCAAGTCTCAACCCTCACCCCAGTCAATATCTCAGCATACGGCCAAGGCTCGACTGCAGACAACATCCCAGCCCATACCCCATACCCATCTACAAATGCAACCCAAACCAGAATCTCAGTCAAGACCTCAAACCAAACCACATTCTCAACCAAAATTTCAGAGGACTTCTGACACCGAATCTCAACCACAAACCAGACCAACATTAAAGCCCATATTAGAGCAAAAACCTAAACCACAACCAACATCCCAACACACACCTAAGACTCAGCCACAGCCCCTTTTAGAATTGAAGCCCAAACTCAATATCAGACCACAACCCAGACCAGAATCAAAGCCCATACCCCAGATCAAACCACAACCTAAACCAGAATCAAAGCCTGTACCCCACACTATACCACAAACAAAACCAGAATCAAAACCCGTACCTCAGATCAAACCACAGCCCAAACCAGAATCAAAGCCTATACCCCAGATCATTCCACGACCAAAACCAGAATCCAAGCCGATACCCCAGAACAACCCAATACCCAGTGCAACATCCCAGCCCAAACCTGGAATTAAACCACGACCTCAACCAGATTCCAAGTCTGTTACCCAAACCAAACCATCCCTACAACCAGAATCCCAGCCAATACCCTGGACCAAACCACAACCCCAACCAGAATCCAAGCCCATACCCCAGACCAAACCAAAACCCAAAACTGGATCTAAGCCAACACCCCAGACCAAACCAAAACCTAAACCTGGATCCAAGCCAATACCCCAGAACAAACCACAACCTCAACCTACATCTCAACCCATTCTACTGACCCAGCCATACCCACAACCCAAACCAGCAACCATACCCATACAAAATTTGGAACCAAAACCTCAGCCGACACCCCAATCTACATCACAGATTTTATCACAAACACAATCGCAAGGACCAATTCTTGAACCAGAACCACATCCAGAACCAACTTATCAAATAACACGGATCAAACCAAAACCTCAGCCAACATCCCAATTTAATCTCCATATCTTTCCTACAACACAGGCTCAGACAAAACCACTTCCCCAATCAAAGCCCCAAACCACAACTGAGCTCCCAGCTGTACCTAAACCTCAAGTGACACCCCAAATAAATCATCAGGTCCATCCTCGGATACAACCACATTTTAAGACCCAGACACAATCTACAGTCCGAGCATCAATCCAGCCCATTGTTAAGGCATATCCACAAACACCTCAACCAGCACTTGAACGTATGACCAAAACCCAAAATGCTGTAGTAAAGGACAACATTAAACTCCAGGCTCAACCACAATCAGAATCCACAACTGAGACACAAGCCCAAACACGACTTCAACAAAAAATAAACCAACAGCCTCAACCCACAACAAACCCTGAGACTCGACTTACAACCAAGCAGAAGTCACAGACCTTGCCAACTCCAAAGCCAAAGACCAATAATTTACACCCCAAGCCCAAAAAACAACTTCAAACCAAAGGTCAACCCAAGTCCAAGACAGAGACACAACCAAAGTCCCAACCCAAGCCTCAACCAAGACCCCAGCCAAAACCTTCAACACGGACACAACCAAAGCCCCAACCAAGGGCCCAACAGCCAAATGCTAAGACTCAGCAGAAGCCACAATCACAACATCCAATTAAGACCCAAACAGATCCTGTACCTCATTCTCAACCTATACTCTTAACACAACCTCCAAAAGACCAGTCTAAGTCCCAAGTTGAGCCTCTACCAGAGCCACACCCTGCCTCTAGGCCCCAACAACAATCTCAACCTGGGCTTCATTCTGAGTCTCAGTCCAGGAGCTACTCTGGTACCACCGAGGTCACCCCAAGGAAAACTGTCACAACGGGTAAAGACTCTGCCTTGTGCCATCAGCAATCAACCGATCAAGTATTACGACCTTGTCTAAAGTTACATTTTAAAAGGGGCATTTGTTAATGTATTGCTTGTAATTTATTTGGAATTTTAAAGAAAACTACTAAAAGATAAATTTTTTAAGTTAGAGTCCAGTATTTTCTGACAAAATAGTAATAATATGGATATTCTTATTTCGACAAATACCCTTACTGCCCACAAGGATTAAGCCCTGCAACATATTCCTTGTGTTTTGGCACAGAAGGGTAGAATATGCCCCCTTTAAAGTCCATAATGTAATCATACACATACAGTAATGGTTGATAACAGTAATAAATAGATAAATAGTGAGTTCTCTTTCAAACAGCTCCTAGTCCACCGGAAGAGGGCAAGCCTCTACCAAGACCTGCCCTGGATACAGAGAATGCTGATAGTTACATTCAGGGTAAACACCATGCCAAGTTTGTCCCATCACCATCTCTGCTTCTGTTGCGTCACATGAAACCCAGTGTTTTCAGTTGTCCCTCAAACTATTGGATGATGTCACTGCTTCCCCATCACCATCTCCATCTTACTACCCCACACAACCCACCCCACCATTATCCCTCCTCCCAAGTGTGCCTCCATTTTCAGCCCAGCACACTCACATCACCTCTGCCTACTCACAAGCAGAGCAGACTTGCTGGCTTTCCAATCTCATCTATACTTCTGTCATCTCATTCATTGCCCAATCTTTTTTCATTCTTACTTTCTTGTGTGCTTTGTCATTTACTCCATTTAGGTCAAGCTGTCATTCCAAGAAAGTGATCAACCCTAAACTCCTCAATCGCCTCTCTTTTGATCTAGGTGCTGGTGCCATCAAAACCTCAGTTGCTGAAGTTCCTAAATCTCCTATTAGCTCATCAGCTTCTCAAGCAGGAAGAAACAGCACTCTGCCTCGCAACCGGGGTCCTCCAAATCCCAATCACAAAACTGTCCGACCACTTTCTCCGTCCAAGACATTCACCTCCCCTCAAAGCTCCAGCTCACCTGGTGGTAATGGATTACTCTGAATACCTGTCTTTTTATCTCTCTTTTCCTAACCTTAAATAATCCTCTTTTGCGTCCTGCTGCAGTTGTGCACACTCTGAAGACAAACATATCTTTTGATCTAATACACGATCATTGTTTGAACACATAAAGTAGATGTTTGTACACTTGTTTTCTTCTCCCAGTTTTTCTTAATCTTTCTGCTTCACTGCCTCTTATCATCCATGTGTTCTCCATGCTCTGCCACATGTGCTCGGTGTATATTTCACAGCTTTACCACAAGCAGCAGCGGTGTCTCAGGGGTTGGGATCGTTAACATGATTTACAGGCCGACTTGCTGGCCGGATGGGAAGTCTGGCCACAGCACTGGCCAGAACACACCACATTTTACACCATCTATGCCAAGCCAAGCACTGTGCAGACAGAGCAGCCGCCACAGCCAGCCTCTCTCCTTCTTTCTCCCTGTATCTCCATCTCTCACGGCGCATATTCCCCAAAGAGTTTCAGAAGTGCAGAGCACTGAAACGTCAAACAATATAATTTGTGTTTTGAAGTCATGTGAATTCCATTTGTATGTCCAGAACATCTGTTAAACCAAGCTGAAAACACAATCACAACGCCAGCTTTATTGTTAGAGACTATAAACAAGGGGACAAAAGTGAGAAAGAAAGACAAGGCAGTTTTCTTCCTGACTTTCTTCAAGATTGTTGGTCAGATGACACTGAACATTTTTAACAGACCTCTTTCTTCCTCCAGCACTCGGTGGAGTACAACATAGGGGAAATGCTCTTCCTAAACCTGCGGTGTGGCCAGGAGAGAAACCCGGTAATGACAAACCAAGACAATTGCCTTTCAGTGTTCCTCACTCACTAACCAAAGAGGCGCAGTTTTGTCCTGTTCCACATGGCCATGCTCATCTCTCCATCTGCCGCAGTCCTGTCATGCTTTGTGATTTTTTAACTTGTTTGTCAGTGTGATGTTTTTGTCTGGTTGTAGTTTGTGTTGTCAAATGCATCCCAGCAACTTGTACTTGACTGAGACTGAAGCCATATATAATTGTAAATTTGGCCAATACCTATCTTTTCCATGTTGTTTAGTCTACAGCACATATGGAGCTGTAATCATGAGCTGGTTTAAATTAGTCTGAGAGCAACTTTAGCCTGCATGTTGTAAAAGGTGAATGTGTCCTACCCGATTTTTTGGTGAGTCACTTTTTCCCATACTGTCAAGCAGACTCAGTAAATTGAATGATTAAACCCATCTCAAATAGTGAGCATAAACCACGGCTCAACCACATGGATTAATAGTGACACTTTGCTCACTCTTTGTTGTTTGGATTTGTGAAGAGGGGTTTGTGCTTCAGTCTCATGTCACAGCTGGTGTGTGTTATTTCTGGAAACTTGGACAGTTTCAGAGGTCTTCAAGGAGTCACAAGGCTCCCTGGAAGCAACTCTAAGGCAAAGAATAGACATTTTGAAGACACACACACACACACACACACACACACACACACACACACACACACACACACACACACACACACACACACACACACACACACACACACACACACACACACACACACAAGCATGAAGTTGCTAACTATTACCATTGTTCCATTGAGTTAACCATCTCTCAGGCCTTTAAAGCTGAACTGGCCATTCAAAAGTCTCGATGCATCTCCAGTCAAACTGGTTTGCTTTGGCTTTCCATCCTCAATGTTGCTGTGCCAGGAAATACCAGGAGTGTAAAATGAATTGCATGAACTCGCATTGGTATAATGAACTCATGGCTGATAGTACAACAGGATGAGCAAAATAATGTACATTTTGGTTGAAGTAGCTACCGCTTTGGACAGAGAAACACAACTACACACACAACTAGGACTTTGCAAGGTATTTGCGCAAAATAGCTATGAGTAGGACTTAATGTTGATTGGTATGTAAATGCTTCTTTTAAGGATACAAGATCTAGAATTGTGCATGTTTATGTCATTTGGACATATACTAGGACAGTGGGGCTGTGACAGCTGGTACATCTTGGCACCTTTCTGTTAGCACATTCATAAATAAGTGCTTATAAAGTGTTATTTTTGTTACGCTACACTCAATAATTTCATGTAACGTCAAATTTAACCATCTCTTATTCTGAAATCTGTGAAAAGTTGTCCCCTACTAAGCCTCCAAGAGCTAATAATGGCACGATGTGCAGGATCCCTATTCTATACTTTCCTCATAGAAGTGCTTTCAAAGGCGATGTCTAGCCATGAAATCTGAGCATGTGTTACAAATCAAACAACCTCAGTGAGGTGAGCCATTGTTTTGTGATTCAGTGGGAATATTTTCCCCTAACTGAAAGTAAATCTTTCTCTTTTGATTGCATCTAATTCACATTTTCATCGCCAAGAGAAAGTTCTTCAATAGAAACCAGCGCTCACGTCCCTGCTGCTGTTTTACATCACACGTGTGAGTCTGGAGTCTTTCGCACTTCTGAGACTTGACCTGCTGTTTGAAGGGTTTATAGAGCCACAGTAAACCAAAAACACCCGCTGTAGAAACTGCAGAACTTCAAACCAGATTTTATCTTATACATCATAGAGACATAGTTGACATGTATATTGTTGACACCAGATATTATCACATAACAACACAATGGCTGCCAGTTTAAGCATGAGGTAACTCTTTCGAGCTGTCAGTTCACATACACCAGTCATTGGTGTTTGTATATGTTGAGGCAGACATTTAAAGGACTGCATCATATTGTTTGAGTTAATATTAGAGCATATGTTTGCTTTTAGCTGTCACTTCGACCATGTGTGAGTCAGAGGTATTTCTTGAAGGTATTCTTGGTGTTAATCAGTAACTGTTTGGCAGATTGTTTCAGTTTGTCTTGAAGTCCTGAACTCCTCTCTCTTGGGAGTAGGTGCCAAGGATTACTGATTTATGCTGACCAGTGGGAGGTCAGCTTCAGGGAGGTAACCTATCCAAGAGAAATGTTTCTGGTGTGTTTTGGCCCAAACAAATGAACAATTACCGAATTTTGTCAACAAAACGGTGAGAAATAACAAATGGTGCAGGGAGTGGATGCTCTAGAAGTGATTCGGTGCAGTTAAATGGATTATCTCAAAACAAGTCAGATGTGAAATGTGTAACGGAAACTCGGTGAATAAACCTCCTCTAAGATATCACAACAATGATTTAGGATGGTTATTCTCCTTAACAATATTAAGCAAACCCTTCAAGTTAGAAATCAGAGTTTCACAGCTTGTCCTGTTTCCATGGTGTTCTTGTTATTACTAATCCAGTTCAGTAAATCCAATGAACTCCTCTCTGGAGTTAAACTGATACGATTTCCCTCTGATGATTTGGCTTGTTTTTTTATTTTTCTCTGTAATGCAGGAATTTGTGCAACAGCTGGTGGTTAAACTTCATTGGATTCAGATTTATTTTCACATGAGGAGGGTTAGAATCTGATTAAATAGGACTGGATCTGCTATCGTACTTTTCTCTTAAAGATTCAAAAAGGATTTCTAAATCGCACAGTTGTTGCTAGGATGAGCGATTAAACACCTCTTCATGGTTTCTTGGGAATAAAACACCGACATGGTTTTCATTAGTCATAGTGGTGCTCTGTGGCAGCACTTAAACAATTCACATGCAATCTGCTTGGCTTTTATGTGCTTCATTGTTGTTTGTATCAAGCTTGTGTTGGTATTTTTCTTCTTTTTTTCAGCTCACAGTATAAATGCAGCCCTCTCCCTGCTTCATGTCTCCCAGTCTCTGAATCTACAAACTTGACATTCCCTCATCATTATTGCATTATTAAATAACCAGTAACATTTGTTTTCAGTTTTCTATCCCATCTTCACTCCTGACCACCTGCTCTGTTCCAAGCTGCTAAACTGAGTCTCACTCTTGTTTCCCACGTTTTGTTTTCTTTGCAGTGCTGCGTCCTTCTGTTCCCGTCAACAAGAGACCCAACCTGGTGGCGAAACCTAGTGACCACGGTGAGAAACAGTGAACAGCGATGGCTGCACTGAGCACTGCTGCACCTTACCCTGTATACTCTTATAATGCATAAAGGGGCAAGACCGGGGTTTTAAATGTTTCCCTCATCCTCTCTGGAACAAAATGCATTTCACAGGAACTGAACAACTTCTGCTGAAAATCCCAACTGGGTGTGTTGCCTAAAGTTAGATAAGAAGACTGGTACAACACTAGTCTGTCCAAAGGTAACAGGAGCTGCCAAGCAAAAGCAAAGAGTTGAGAACATCACTGCCAAGCCAATTAAAAGTCTTTGGCGACATTCCTGAAGAACTTAAACCTGTTGCCCTTTCACTTTTTTCTTGAACTGATGAAACAAACCAGAAGTAATCTGATATTGCTGTGGTGCAGAGTCATGCTTTTTTCAGTCTTTGGCTTAGCTCAGCTTAACTAAAAGGGCACTGGCTGGAGCTACACACTTTCTGTTCTCTTTACTCAACAGGTGTCAAAAGTCTTTCATTTTTATACCCATGTCATGCAGAGCACACCAGAGTCTATCTGCAACTAGAACCACGAAAACACATTTTTACACTGCTTCTAACTGGGCGCAAAATCCTTTACTTTCATTATATATCGATAGGGTTGCAAAATTCTGGAAACTTTCAAAGTTGGAAACTTTCCTTGGGAATTAATGGGAATTAATGGGAATCAACAGGAATAAATCTGAAATTTTAGAACTTTTAAAATTTTTAAAAATTCCCAGGCTTAACTTCCCATGGAAAATTTCCGGGATATTTTCTGCCCCTTTGCAACCCTATATATCGATGACAATGTGTATCAGCGTGCAGGCTGAGCAATATGTCTGATTTAGTATCTAATCATACTGGTTCTCCCTCTAGACTGTGGCCCTGCAGTGTTAAACCAGCCCATACCTGGCTGTGACGCATTGGTATTTGATGCTTTTGGATAGGACTGTTTTCACACAGTTACAGCCAGTGTGTCCCCAAAACACAGGTGACAATGGGGTTGTTTGTGATGTTAATGCTGTTATTACTTTTCCTCCTGGTAGAAAGTCTGTCTAACCTGGACTTCACAGCTGTTGTGTTGCCTGACTGAAGCTTGCTCGTCCGAGGCCTTACTTCCTTGCTAGCGTGCTAGCACTCTTGTGTATTTATTAATCCCACATGAGGCTTATTTAAATTTGGTTCTGCTCAACATATTTTCACATCATCAAGCAAATCAAGCTGTATTGTGTTTATGCCCTCAATTACAGTTTGAGAATTTCTGTCTTGGTTTATCTTTCGCCAATAACAAGAACTTATAACCTGAAAATTGCTTTTAACAAAACAAATGAAACTTGAAAACAAAACAGTATTTATCTCATTATTACAGCTCCACCCGAGTCTTGTTGCAAATACTCTCTTCCTCTGGACATTTCAAGTTTCTGTTCACTCTGTCATCAGTTTTTCTTGCTGTCTCTTTTTTGTTGCAGTGCACAAAGCCAGTATTTGTGTATGTGCTCATGCATGATTCTGAGCATCTGGGCATACTTGGTCCCAGAATAAGTATTTTGGCAGACTTTTTCCCCTTTTAAAGAGCAAAAGAGATTACTCAAGAAGCAAATCCTGATCCTTGGGCTGCAAGGAAAAGGCCACTGAGTTGCTCAGTGAGGATGGCCAGAGCAGATGGATCACAACTGTGTGTGACTGTGAGTCAGATGATGAGGGTGAAGAGCTGATCCTCCTCCTCCTCTGCTCTGTCCTTAGATAAACCCATGGATCTGAAACAAGGAGAAAATGACTCCATATTGAAGCCATTCCCCGTGGTCACAGCCAAACCGAAGCAAGAGCGCAGACAACAGACAACCACCTCCGCCCCATCAGTAAACAGTAGGAGAAATTAATATTTTGATGTGTCATATGAACTGTTTTCACACCTGCAGCGAAACAAGTGTCTCACATAACGTTGAAAATACCTAATAAAAAGTTTTTTGAACTCAGTCAATGCACACACATGGCAATAATCAGTATATATTGCTGATGCTGCCTGCAGGTGTGTCTTATAGAGAAATGAAAAAAGTATAACATATGAGGAGGCAGAAAAAGAGTCTAAATTCGGGCCAGAGCAGGTGCTGGCTGGTGTTTGACCTGGGCCAGAGCTGTAAAAATGAGGACAGAGAGAGCTGCCAGAGACTGTTGGCACATAAACCTCAACCCAACTACTTACTTCTGCTTCCTTTTCAGGCAGCCGCTTTGACGTAAATGAAAACTCTTCTATATTCAGGCCTCTGCCTGCCTCTGAAGTAGACATCATGGGCAAAAAACGTTATGTAGGTAAGATTCACCAGCAATTTTACCTTTTCACTACAGGTTCACTCTCAACCCTTCCTGCAAATTCAGCATTTAAATTAACAAACAATTGAAGCGAGTACATCAATGATGAGTAACTGCTGTCTCTGTGTCTCTAGCTCCTCATGTGATCTACAAGACAGATAAGAAGCCAGATGAACCTTGTTCCATCACATCCTCCCTCGCTTATTTCCCCGATGAGGAGGGGGCTGATCAGAATGTGACCGGTCCTCCCCGTGTACCACCCTCTAACCTCACTGTGGTCACAGTGGAGGGCTGCCCGTCTTTTGTCATCCTTGATTGGCAGAAATCTGACAACGAAACCAGAGGTAGGGTTGGCGTGTACTTGGAGTCCTGTTTTGTGGGCTTGTCACTCTTGATTCAGTGGAGTCCACCTTCTTGTCAGGGGGCTTGACCTTTCTGTAACCACCAAAGTTGGCCCTCATGATATGCTAGGGCTGGATGATTAATTGAATTTCAATTACGGTTACAGTCATGATGATTTGATTATCGAGACTGAACGATAACTATGCTGCCTGTTGTGTCTCACTTGTTTTGTCACATTATGTCCCAAACTCAGTTCGAATTTCAACAAAGTTTGGGAGCATAAGAAAGTTGCAGAAGCAGCAAAAGAGAAGGTGTTGTGATCAATGAGTGTGTGTGAGTGCCAGACTAACCAGTGACATCAATCCCTATCATAATAAAATACAAGCCTGTGTTTTGGCATTGAGGCTGGAAGACCAGAGTGATTTGTTAGCTCTAAAGTCTGTGGTAAAATGTGAGTGGTGAAAAAAATGCAAATTTTCTAGTTTTTAATAACAGTGTAAAATCCACTCTACTACAAGTGAACGTCTGGCATTTAATGTAGCAAGTATTATCGTCAAAATTAAGTCAAAGCTCTCAAAGTGAACTGCAGAGCTGATCCATGATGATCCTGTTCAGTACTATAACACTGGATTTAAAAAAGTCATATAACCAGATGGTGTGTATTCATCATGTAAACATAATATAGGTCTAACACAAGACAAAAAACACTCAATTATTGGGGTTGAAAAATAATACATCTTATCTTAAATGGATCTTATTTCACTGATGCAGACTTTTAATACGTCTAGATTTCTGTCTAAGATTCCTTCTGAACATAGATGCTCATTCACTGCACTTCAGCATATGTGAGTATATGAGTATGAAAAATAATAACTAGTTAATCCCACATCCTGTACTCACTTGTTATAGAATTAAAGTAGCATGGTGCTCATTTTGTAATGATAGTCCCATTCAGCCTAGTGATTAAGTTGGGTATGCTTGAACAAGTTGCCACCTGGTGTTTGAAAATGTATCACCATGACAACCTGTCAGTAAGGACAGAGGTGTTACAATGCACAGCTTCTCATCCAAATTTGTCAATTTTGGTTTAATGGAGCCCAGATAATAACAGGAAAGGCTCAAAGAGGTGACATCAGTGAATGCCATTGTAGTTTTAAAAAGGAAAATAAGCACACTAACATTTCTGCTCCTTTCCTAGAGTATGAAGTTGTATCCACCACTAAAGGACCAAATGGAGAGGAGGTGTCTGTATTGACCACCAACCAGACGCACACAGCTGTGGAGAATCTCAAGCCAGAGAGCAGGTATGTGTCAGTGAAAAATGAGACACACTTCATAAACATTTTCTCCAGTGGCTGTCCAAATTGTCAGATACTCTTACTGTGTGTAGTTTGGAAATAACCACCAGATTAAATGTCCAAGATTGTCCAGATTGAAAAAAAAAATTGCTCAAAGGTCCATGTGGAGTGTCTGACTTCTTGCAGGGCTATTATTTCTCTGAGTTAGTCCAAGGCAGAAACCTGAGGGCCTGAAAAATGAAGCCAAGGTGGATGCCAAAAACCTGCAGTTCCTTAAATGGCCAATCAGGATTGATCCAAAAGTCAGGAAATCTGTATTAAAATCGAAAACAACCCAGCAGAATAAACATGGGAGCAGCTCAGACAAAAAAAAAAAAAAAAAGAAATTGCCTTAACCTCTCAAATTTCACCAAGGCTTGAAACTATGCATTGGTAAGGGCATGGTTGTTTTGACAGGAAGAATTCAATTAGGAATCTCCTGCACAAACTTGACCTTTTGAGAATCCACCTACTTGTTCAAATATGGTCACTTCTGGCATTAAAGGTCCAAGTTACCAAAAGTGACGCTTCTAAGTGTAGTCCAGTCTCTGTTATCTTTGTCTCATAAGGGCCTTTGTCCATAAATACCATTTCCAGGTAATCTGCACACTAAAAAGTCTGAATTAAGACTTCTTAAGAGCTTGTCAAGACCCAAACAAAGAAATTTCAACAATTTTTCATACTGCAAAATTACAATTTCAACTGATGTGGCCGATTAAAACTACTACCAATACCAAACTTTAACATTACTATGTATATATCGTGTCAGGTCTTTTGATATTATCTTTCCCAACAACAACAGTGACAGCACATATGTAAAAGAAACAAGTTACTCTTATTTCTCTCAGGCTAATTGTATGAAGAAATGTCTATGAACTGTTTTGAATTTTTCCTTTGAATGGTTCCTTTTGATAAATACTGCTAAGGAAAGCTTAAGCACCATGCAACAACTTTTGGACACCAAGCCACTGTAAGCGCCAGTAACAAGTACTTTAAAGTCCAGGTTTTGGGCACTCCCGACCCAAAACATGAGGTCATGGATCACATCACTTTAGCTGAAGATATTGATGAGGAAACAAGAGTTACTTCCATACTTGGCCCTGCACTTGTTTTGTTTGCATTCATAATGTGTATTTAAGGATTTGCACATAGCATTTTGATGAGTGACACGGTATTTATGCATTACTATGAGGCATCTCCAGAACAATGCTGTCTGCTTGAATGACCGTCTGATTACATTAGCGAGCTTCACTGTAAATCTCATGGGGCTATTAAATGGCACTGCAACCTCCTCTGTCAGCCAACGGAGTGACTCATGTTTGGTTTGCATATATACAAAATGGATAAAGTGACACAAAAGCTGATGAAATCTGGGTGGAGTGGGTCACAGAGTTTTTAATTAGATCCAAGCATCTGGAGTCTCAGAACTCACCAGAACCCTCCTCTGGGCTTGGTTTTCTGGCCTGACTATTAGCCAAACTCTTGCCAGGACATCTGAACGCAGCACGTGGAATAACCATCAGCTTTGTGTTTGTGTGTGAGTGTGTGTGACCAACTCTTTGCTGTCAAAAGCATAAAAATATAATGTGTCCCAGTTCTGGGGTTTGAGCAATTTAGATTGAAAACTTCTTAAACTTTGAAATCATCCTTTTTTTTTTTCTATTACAGTTATGAATTCAAAGTGACGCCAAGGAATGAGATGGGAACAGGACCCTCCAGTGATCCTGTGTCTTTTAACACTGAATCAGGCAAGTTTCACAAAGAAGGATTCCTCATAAAACCACATAAACACCAATTAGCTGTATTTTGATGCCACTGTGAATAATTCTAATAATCAGGCAGAGTGGGCTGCTTTTAAACACTGAAGGTGGCCTGTTAGGCAGTTGTTCATCTAATGATTTCAACATGGCATTGAGGTTGAACTGATTAAGACTCTGAGGACTTTTTATCTCCCCAGATGTCCTCTGTGGATTATTCCTCACATATCATCTACTTTCTGATCAGAACGCTCCAAGCTAATGCTGAATCGCTCATAAAGGAGATAAAGTAAAGCCCTGGGTCGATCAAATGTTGTTTCATTAAATTCACAATGACAACACTTAGAGAAAAGTGCTTTGCTTATTTGGCCTCTTGCCCTGGTGCAATCAAAGCGCAGCCTGTTTGAGGCTAAACACTGTAAAAACTTTGCCAAATGGGCTCCGGTGCAGGTTGTCTGGCTTGGTCTTGCACAGTAATTCAAGATGTCTCGTGACTTTGTATTAATTTTGCGATGTTTTGATGATGTTATTTATTACAAGTTTCTCTTGTGTTTGCAGCCGATCCACGAGTGAGCGAAAACGTTTCAGGTGAATATTGTTTGTCCCTCTCTTCAACAGTATGTTCTGACTTAAGCTCACTTTTTAAAATAACTGGACTTGGATTTTTGTTTACAAATATCAATTTGTTTATGAGTTCTTTGCTTCCAATGGTTTTCTCCCAGGCAAAGATGCCATCTGGACCCAGTTCCCATTTAAAGCCGATTCCTACTCTGAATGCAATGGAAAGATGTTCGTGAAGAGAACTTGGTACCGAAAATTTGTTGGCATCCAGCTCTGCAACTCCTTGAGATACAAGATCTACCTGAGTGACTCTCTCAATGGTAAATACAGACTGAAACAAGAATCAGCTGGTAGGACACTAAAGACAAAGTACTGTGAAGGCCAAAGTCCTAATGATATGGTATGCAAACCCGCAAGGACAACCAGTATGTCAAAATCATCAGTACTGCTGTAATCACAACCATCTGGATCGTGTCAAAATACAGGGGATTATTCCTGAGCCCGTGCAACAATTCCCCAACAAGTTTAATAAAAACGGGTTCAGTAGTTTTTCCAAAACCCTGCTGGAAAATAGATAAAGAAAGCCCAGAACACAGTTATTTTATAGGGTGTTAAAACACTATGTACATACATGTAAGGATATTTGTACATGTTTGAACTTCTCAAAGTCAAATAAACGCGTGTAGATAATGCGGTTGATTACCCAAATGGTCCAAAAATAGGCCTAGGCTTTCCTTGCACACCTCAAAGTCTTCAACCTGTCTTTAAACCAAACATTAAAATACAAATACAAATAAAAACATGCATTCACAGGGCTTTAGCGCCTCTTCAGAAAAGAACTATACCATTGTTAACAACTTGCTTTTGCTTCCTCTATCCTCTCTGTAGGAAAATTCTATAATATAGGAGATCAGACAGGACACGGTGAGGACCATTGTCAATTTGTGGACTCTTTTCTGGATGGACGGACAGGCACCCAGATGCTAGCTGACCAGCTACCAAGCAGACTAGGTATCTTTACACTCCATAATACATCATTAGCATGTTAAATCAAGTAGCATCTAACCCCTACTCTGTCTTTTTCCCAGGGTATTATCGAGCCTTGAGACAGGAGCCTGTGCACTTTGGAGAGATTGGAGGGAAGTCACATGTTACTTATGTTGGGTGGTATGAGTGTGGTACACCCATACCTGGGAAATGGTAAGAGCGCCACAGCTGTCTAGGAGGGATAACTTTCTTCAGAAGGAGAGGAAGAAGAGGAAGAGGAAGTAGAAGGAAGAAGAAGAGGGAGAAGATGAGGAAGCCAAACCAGTCTTGAAGGACAGTTGGGCTTCCTTTCACATTACCATTGACACTGTAGATGGGTCTGTCTGTTTGAAGTCAGCCCTCTCTCCCAGGTTTGACCCTGTCCAAGACTATAAAGTGTCACAAAACTCCACAGAGTGTATTTGTAACATTGGTCTTAATTTCTGTATTTATCAAAAATGTCACGACAGACAAAAGAATACAGGATTTTCAGTGAATGAAAATGCTGAAAATATGGTAATCGCAGAGAAGTTGTTGGGAAGCTGGCTCCCAAAGTGTAATAACTTGTATGATGTTATTTATCAATGGGACTGTTAATGAATTTGCTCTGTGTGCTCTGGCTTTTGATAAAAGAAAGCTGAAATAGTGCCCAATACTTGCATGTCAGTGAACACACATTTTACACACATTTGTATACAGAAAGGTGCCAGTCATACTTCCATTGTACATTTGAATATGTGAATTACAAGTAAAGACAGACATGCAGAATTGACCTTCTGCTGGCCCTAAGGGATTATAAGCAGTTGCAGTTTGCACAGTATTAAACTTTTGTTCATATATGTATATGATGTTGAATAGAATTTGAATACCAGGGATTATATAGTTTGATGTACTTCAGGTAAACGTTAATACAGCTTCAGTCAATTTAGTTTTTATTGGAAATCAAAGCTTGAAATTCAGTGTTTCAATGGAGTCACTTGAAAATGAAAGATTGATGTATTTAAGATGCTCATGCAGTCTTATTCCATGTTTTACAAATGAAAATAAGAGAAAAAAATTGAAGATAAAATAATAAATGAACCACAGTTCCATGTAAAATTCCATAAACAAATGACATAATTTATGTTTTGTTTCCAGTTTAATTTCAAATTGTACAAAAAAGCTGAGTTAGAGACTTTTTGCTCACCTCTGTCATGACTGCAGATGTTTTTAAACCACCATGTTCATTTTCAACAATAAATCTTGTTTTTATATTTACTGATTCTACTTGTCATTTGAGTTTGGAGCAATATTATAATCAGGAGGTTAAAAAAACCTTTTTTTTTCTCAAGATATGAAGCAACCGTCAACAGCTGTCAAGTTACTTATAGCTGTTGCCTCTGATTTTGAAAGAACAAGTTTACAGATTTTAGCACAGAAAAACACGGTTCAATTATGATGGATATGAGTGGATTATGTTACTTAATGTATAAAAAAAATGCCAAGTCAATTCTTGGACCTGAAATTAATGCCAAACCCCAACCACTGACAAATGTGTCAAACTAAGTCAATTAAAGCAACTGTTAAAGTATCTGTGGATTTACTAAATAACACAGCTGTGAACAAAAAAGACTGCACTGCTTTGAGTTAAGCTCTTAATTAGAGTTTAATTGCCATTAGCCTCTGAAGATACTTTAAACAACATTCAAAGGTGATCATGATGACTCCAACATCTGAAGACGAATATACAGAGCCCCTCTGCTGACTTCTCTTTCATTTCCACCACATTTATAGGTTAGAAGGTCAAACAAGAAAACACAAAAGCAGACATTTAAGAAATTTTCCCAAACATGGTTTCTGTCTTTAGTCAGCTCTCGTTTGGCTAATTTATGTCCAAGTATTCATTTTTTCATGAAGCTCTATTTTTGGTAAGGTGGGGCTGTGACATCATGATTGACAGCTCTATACCATACTGAATTGGCAGAACTGACATAAAGCTCAGAAAATGTAATGACACTAAAGCACTAGTCTTGAATTTTCCATAAACATGAATATCTGCTTCCAGCTGGAACAAGGATCTGCTGGTTTGGTGGCTCACATTTATTTACTGTGTAGGTCTAATGCCCACAATGATAACAATACAACCAATGGCAGCAACACAATTTCTCCACTGAAATTCACCTGATCCTTACATTGAGCCTGTTGTGAATAAAGTTTAATTACAACTTATCAGCTACTTAGAGATTGTTTGTTTTGTGTCTAAATTTGATCTAGAGAGGTTATAAAAAAGTGGACCAAGATTTTTCCTCCAGATTTAGCCATTAATCAGTTTACATTGTGCAAACTGTGTCAAATATGCAGACCATTTACAGTAGACAAAGCCATCAGAAAAAGAGTAATTTCAGCTTTGCACGAGCTGTATAAAGAGCAACCCAACACAGCTCACTTAATTGTCTTCAATAAATCCTGTGTGCTCAGTTCTTCTCACTCAGTGAGACAGTTTGACACAAACGTCCAACCACATACTCCCCCCCCGCCACATGTCCCAGCCAACCACAACCCACAGACAGGAAAGCAAAATAGAAATACCAGCATTACCACAGTTTTTCCAGATCCAGGGTGGAGGAGAAGAGGAAGAGAGAGGCCAAACTTAACAGAGACATGAACTCAGAAACCACAAAGAGAGAGTGAGTGTTGAGGGAGAGACATAGAGGAAACAAAGGGCCAAAAGAAACTCAGTATCAAAACAAAAAGAAGTCCAACTGGGTCTCAATCATTTATTAGGTTCAAGAAAAAATGTTACAGTTTATACATAAACAACTAATCTCACTTAAAGGTGGAATTTGATTTATTAGTAAAAACCAGTGATAAGATAAAGAGAGGAATAGCAAGCTTTACTGGAGGTGATATAACAAGCTAAACAAAAGAAGCCTTCTTCTTGACAGTGGGACCTACACTTCCCATCAGCCGTCACTTAGCTAGTGTTCCCAACATGGGGCAGTTCAGTTTTATTGATACATCATTAATACCGACTTGGTGGTGAACTTGATCAAATAAAGAAAAAAAAAAAACCTCAACAGACAAAAAAAGGTCGGGGTAACTTTTCATTTAGTGTCTTATGAATGCATTTCCATAGAGTAAACAACAGGTCTGCCATCGACATGTATGAAAAATGCTAAATCTTGATCTGTTCTCACTCCCAAATGAAGCGTTACCATTAAAAAACAAACGAATAAAACCAATGGACAATTTGTGCAACAGCCTGTTTTGGTCTCCCAGGTGTGTGCATACAGACTTGTTACATTTCTCACAATGATGGATACGAGAGGGCAGAGCTGACAGTGATGGAGAAAATAAACACCAAGAACAAACACCGGGGACAGAACAGAGTGGCATGTTGGAGAGACAGCATACAAACACTAACCATCAGACTGGGGGGGGGGTTCTGGTTTCATATTTGGATTTGATATTTGTACGGGGGGGAAGATGCAGAGCGGTAGATTCCTGCACCCACTCCAAACGCTTGGAGCCACAGAACAGGGAAGGGGTTTAGGGTGTGTATGTGTGAGGATCAGTAACATCCGCTATCCTCTTTTACCGGTATCCAGGGCCTGGCTGAGTGTAGCCCTGACCGTAAGGGGGGCGGTTGCGGGCATATGGGTTAGCAGCTCCAGGTGGAGGGGTGCTGCCAGGGGGTGGGGTGTATCCAGGGCGGGGTTGAAACCCTGAGCCAGGCTGGGAGCTAGGCGGCATGCTGTAGTTGGCGGGCTGTGAGGCCTGGGAGGTATAGTTTTGGGGAGGGAAGGCTCCTGGTGGATACTGCTGAGCTGCCTGAGATGGATGGGGCTGCTGCTGGCCACCCTGGAAGCCTGGAGCAGGAGCTGGAGCCGGTGCGGGAGCCTGGGAGGAAGGGGGCGGGTAGTTCTGAAACTGCTGCTGCTGTTGTTGTGGTGGCTGTGGTGGGCCGGGCTGAGGGGCTCCGGGCTGAGTGTTGTATCCTGCGGAGACAGAGAGAGAGAGAGAGAATAGGGGACAATGATCAGGGAAAAGAGCAGCTTCTGTCACATCATTCAAATTCAAACCACTCTCAGTCTTACCAGAGTATTGCATACCGTACTGCTGCTGTGGTGGGGCACCTGGTTGTTGAGGCGGGTATCCACCTGGGGCCTGGTACTGTGGGTACACTTGACCTAAACACACAGGGACGAGACTCATCAGCACACAAGGTCAAAGTATAAACTATCCTGATATGATCCAGGTGCTGTTTAATCCACTTCCATGTGCACCTAGCTGTAAACAATCTTAAGTGTGAAATTTAATACAATGCTTTCTAATTTTCTTGACCATTCCCAGTGTGATTTTTAAGGTCACTGTCATAAGAAGCTTATTCAGAGGGGGCTTTAATACAGTGTTTACTTAAGTTGCAGCTCATAAAAAAGTGCAGAGAGTGATTTTTTTTACAATGACACAGCTGATGCAACATTTAAGTTTGATTTTTGTGAAACAAGATAAAATTTTGGATAGATTCTGAGTGATGGACTTCCCGTCTTAGGCTTAAAAAAACATTTATAAGAATATCATAATATCCTGAACGTTTGAAGTTACTGTCAAGTCTTGCTAGCTGCCTTTACCCTTCATCTTTTTTTTTATATCAGATCCAACTTTCATAAAGTAAATACGCGTACACAAGTTCTCCATATTCTCACGAAAATACCTGTGCATCTGTTCAGAGCAGCTCCAACCTGCTCCACTCCACTGAAAACATCTGTATCCACTTCGATGTAACTATTTGTTGAAAAAGGTCCAGTACCCACAAATATCCCTCTATGCTACATTACAGTGCGAACTGGCTACCAGACAGAGAACAGTGGTGTGCAGGTGCCTGAGCAGATATAAACACACGCAGAGAGAAAGAAAAAAATTCAATCCTTCAATAGTGAGGCTGACATGTTTTCACGATTGAGATATGATAAAGGCAGACAGACACAAACAACCTTGTGTTTGGGTTAAGCACCGTCTCTCCTCCATTTCTTGTAACTTGAAATAACATGGTCTGACCCATGTGCACTGCCTACATGCACATGTTAGGAACACTCTGCAACTCAAATCATCTTAATAAGATACCAGAAATAGCTTTTCTTTTTCCATTTCAGCCCGGGGCATGATGTTTCGCCTATTAGGGTGGCTTGATGATTAATCATCGATATATTACTAGACAGTGATGCCATTGCAAATCTTTTCTTATGTTGCCAAAACATGGAAACTTTTATTCCTTGTTATTTTAACTCATCAAGTTTTCCAACATGTCCCTGAATATTAAGCAAGCATGCGAAGAATTGGCAAACGAGTATTCTCCCTTAACGAGGCATTAGTCGTACTCCCAAATCTCCTGCCTGGCAGGATAGAGGGGTGATGAAACTTGAAAAGCAAAATGAGAGAAAGTATAAATAAATCAAGGCCACACTAGTGTTTGGAGGTTTTTTAAGAGCTGCGTCAACTGGTGCTGGCTTTCCTCTCTCTGGGAGGCCTGATTTTGTGTCATTTCTTTATTTGTAAAAGCCTTAAAATAGAAGCTTGAAAATAAGTGAACCTCTTTTAAATTATACCTGACAAGAACAGTCAACTACGTCAAATATTTTATTAAGTAGATATCACAGTCCAAGCAGCTGAGGTTAATGAATACCCAGACAGAAAAATACTTCATGTTCGCTTGCAGACCTGCAATGTATGAGAAAGTCTAGAGAGTGCTGTCACACTGGTCGATATTGAGGGGGTACGTAATAAACAAAATATTCTTTGTGCACATTTTCTACAAAATTAAGTTTCTGCAGTTGGACGAGTTTTGCACATTTGTTACTCTGTCTGTCCTGAATCCAAAACCAAATAGCAAAAGTGTTGCTCTTATTCACTTTAAGGTAGAGCTGGGCGATAAACCGAAAATTTACCAATCGAAATTTACGACAATAACCAATGTCATTTTGCCCATGTCAATATATTCAGTGTCAAATAAATAAATTAAGATGCTGTCCTACGTTGGAGACACAGGACACCCCATCCAGTCCGTAACAAAGAGGGAAGACAAGTGAGGAGATGGAGGACGATTCAGAAGTTGTAGCAGCTGAAATAGACGAAGTTAATGTGGGAGGGGGTGAGCAGCTTGTGGAGTAGTTATCGTCCATTTATTGTTATCAAGGTGAACTGCTCATTATATCGTGATATTGATTTGAGGCCATATCGCCCAGCCCTGCTTTAAGGACATTTTCTCCTCCTTCTTATTAATGGCTCGATGACCATTAATTTGACACTTATTAATGTGGAGCTCGCTGATGGCTTGGTTGGGCTCTATTTGATTTGCAAACAGTATGAATGCGTTGAAGGATCTATCTTTCAATTAAGCCAAGTCTATAGCTTTTAAAAATCAGATCTATCATTCAGCCTTATAACCCCTGCATAGATCTACAGGGAGAGTAGAGTACCCTAGTAGGGTCTTCTTAAAGCTATGAAGCGATGTGGCAACCATCTGTTCCCTCACTGACAGCATCTTTAAACTGAACACCATGGTCTTTATTGGCCGAGAAGGCACGTGTGTTAAATTGGCTTCTCCGCTCTGTAATCCATCATGTTTGTTATGCAAGAGTGATGGAGGGATTCATGGCTGCTCCAGCTTTTTGACCTGAGGGTTTCATTTTACTTCAGTGTAACCCTGAGGTCAGCTTACGGCTAGCTGAGCGCTCACGGGACAAAGGAATTGACCAAGGGGGTTCGGTGAAGACAGAGCTGCTTTGCTTGAGGAGAAAGTCCCAAAGTTAAGAAAAAGATGTTCATTGGAACAAAGAGACACTTGGCCGCAGCTCTGCTGACCTCCACACATGCCTAAAGACGGAGTCATGAGAACTAAGTTTCAATTTTAGATAAATATTTCTCACCAGTCAGACTTCTGCCCATCTGATTAAGTCAAACGTGTGAGCTGTTGCTGCTGCATACACATTTGGATGGTTTCTTTCTCGCAGAGATGTTAATTATAGCCAAAAGTCTATCAACAGCTGACGAACAGGTTGAAATCTTTAGCATCTTCTGGATCTGATTAGCAGCATTCTTTCGCTAACAAGGAAACTAAGTTTGCATTAAAAGGGAGCTCAAGGCTACCTTGTTAAAGGCCACACATGCTCTGCTGGCATCAACCTCAATAATACGTTCTCTTTTTTTTAGATTCATAGACTTGCTGTTTTGATTTGCCTTGAGGCTACTGTACTGACTAACAGTCTGTTGGAGTGAGGACAGAGGACCAGGTAGAATCTAATTTAATGTATCAGATGCCAACCACCTGCGAGCCTTGGATGGGAGACAGGAGATGATTAAGGGAAACGCTACGTTAAAGATGAGGAGAGAATTAAGTGTTTGTCGCCACGTTGGTCTTGGAAGTACATCCACCACCAACAGCTGTAGGTGTGTACAGTATCCCTGCTGGGGAATTATCGTCAGGAACGTGCTGAATTATTGCATGCTCACATAGGGGGTTTGTTTGAACTTGGTCTTACAATAAAGAGCAGTTAACCTCCCATGTGGCACATTTTTCTGCCTGTATTTTTAACTGTATCAGGCACCTGGAGTTGCAGAAGCCAAATGCATCAACCTTAAATTAAGCATTTATAAGTATTTGAACACTTTCTTAATTTGAATCTTTGAATTAGGGCTGGAAGATAAACCGAAAATTTTACTGATACTGAAATTTACGACAATAACCGATGTCATTTTGCCCATATCAGTTTATTCAGTGTTAAAAAAAAATAATAATAAAAGTTAGTTTTGGATGTGTGTAGGTAGGCTATGGTCTACCTATACCTACATGTCCCTTTAAGATGCTGTCCTAAGTCGGAGACGTGACTCTACCCCATCCAGTCCATAACAAAGAGGAGATGGAGGGCGGTTCAAAAGTTGTAATGGCTGGAGCAGCGGCTAAAGTAGACGAAGTTAATGTGGGAGGGGGTGAACTGCTTGTGGAGTAGTTATTGTCCATTTCTCGTTATCGAGTGAACTGCTCAATATATTGTGTTATTGATTTGAGGCCATATCGCACAGCCCTAATTTGAATTGTCTCTGAGTGTTAAAGTCCAAAAATAATGAGTATTTGTGTTCAATAACCGTGATCTCAGTATCAATCAGAATAACCTTGATTATACTTTTTGCCATAATAAGCAGCCCTAACATTTCCTCCTGAGTATGCACTAACTGGGCAGACCATGACAGCCCCCCTACATCTTGACATCCATCTAGGTGCTGTAAACAAGCAGTAAAAAAACCCCAGTAACATTGGATCACTCAGAGGACAAGACATTCTGTAGCTGTTCTCCTGTTCTCCTGTTATGGAGGGAAGAGAAATAACAACGGGAACAGCTTGCGTTGAGCTGACTAACCCTCTGAGTGAACAAGCCTCCCTTCTGGACAAACAAAAATTCTTATTGAGCCCTATGGAAAGGCCCTGCAACGCTAACAAGGCCAAACCACAAACCACCAGTCAAACATAGGAAGTTTGACCACATGTGAGCTGATCTACAGTGCTGCAGGTGCGGTCAGGACCCAGCGGTGTGTCTGCACTGAGAGCAAGTTACAGCTCTCGAGGTGGAACAAAAAGGCATCTCCTTTGCTTCAGCGGTGTCCTCATTCAACACGGCCAAACCACAAGCTGAAAACAATCTGCTCCCTTTACTGCCTTATGATTAACAATATGATATGCTTCACCTCAGTTGCTGCACCTGTCTGGACCTTTCTTCTTAATAAAAGAAGAAACAAGCCAGACACATCCTTAATAAGATACTCTGACAAGAATCAACTTGTGTTATGGGAAAAGAAGACTTTATCCCCTCCTAAAATGGATCCCAAGATGGTGTTGTGTTTAGAAAATTGAGTAAAACAAGATCGGTTTGTTTTTGCCAACGCTGAGCTGTAATCTTTTTTCATTCATCTTCATCTCTGCCTTTGGTTTGGGTCCAACACGTCTTTGTTAAAGAGCTCAGACACGGGAGGGCTAAGATAACATCTGCCAAGTGAGATAAACTCCATGGATACTCTTGTTTACACAGTGTTGATTCAGATTCCAGAATGGTGAAACTCAAGCATCATCAGCAAAACTTGCTGATTTAACAGGAGAGAAGATTTGATTACCAAAAACACAAGGAACAGGCATTAGCTTACGATCCATGAGGTAAACAGTAAAAGAACTGTGAACTTTAGCTCATGTTTACTAGCCAAAGAGTCGTAGTTTGGTCGCACATTTCTAGTTTTTAGTCAGTTGAGCATCACGAAACAACACATCAATGTTTACCCTACTGCTTAGCATGTCACCCAGGGTAAATTTACACTAGGTCGAGGTTCCCACCTTGCAAAAACATGACTGTGTTTACAGTGTTCACACCAGCTTCGACTGGGTTCAACTTCACATGCAGTTTTTTGGCAGATGAAGAAAGTACTGGCCAAAAAGTCTGGTGGGAAAAATGCCAAATACAAATACTAATAATAGTCTGAATACAGGGAGGACTTTCCTGCTTGAACTGGATTTAGGGTGACGATGAAGACTGAAACAAATATAAAACTCTGCATCTCTTCTCTGTCACTCATGGGAAAATACTTGTTTCAACTTTAAACACTTACATGTAATTTGTAAGGTTACAGTGCGACTGTTTTTGGTGTTTTATTGCTGGTAAACGTAAGTTATCTGCCCTTCATAGCGTTTTAGAGCTTATGTCTGTTAGTAGTTCTATAGGGCCTTAGATATGGAAAGTCACAGGTCAAACTGGCTGACAAATAAAAGCCCAGTGTAAACTGTATGTATGAAGTGAACTGTGAATGTAAGACCACAGACTACACCAGACTTCACTCATAAAAACAACAGACCTCAGTTTAGAGTGTCTATGATTTAGCTATTTCATAGTTTGACTCCCATAAATTCTCATGTTTTTATGTTAGTTATGTGGCAGTGTTTTTTTTAGCTGTGAGTGGGAGTTGACTCCCTGATAAAACTTCATTTTAAAGAAGTACCAAAACACACAAATAAGAAACACAACTCTTGAGATGATGCCCAATTTGTCTTTTTTCTTTCTCGTTTGGTCTCTTCCTCATTATATTGTAATCTCTATTTTCATATTATGACAGTATTTGTTGACATTTGGATTCGTTCTGCATCAATTATCTCATTAAAACATAATTTCAGTGACTGACTTTTTGGTAATGGCAAAAACACGAGAGAGTAGTAACACGTTTCTCTGTTTTATGATTTGTTTTACTTACAAAAACGGCCAACAGGACTTAAAATCAACAACTTAACAGCTGGACTGATTAATGCCTGATAAAACTCAACAGTGGACGTACATTTAGACTCACTACCCTTGATTTATAAGACTTATAGCAGAGCGGCTCTGGACAATTAAAGGCTTGGATAAGTTGTTGAAGGCAGCACGTTGCAACTCACTCTACGGGGGTGACATTTTTATAGCGCTAGGTTGGTGGTAATGTAGGAAAATCATCTGATTTAACGGCACCATTACTTCAAGCGTGTGATTGCTTCACCACCTACCCTGCCTGGTTTCTCGTTCCCTGAGGTCTTCTGAAATTCATCCAATCGTGACTCTAATGGCAACAAGTGCTTTCATCGGTGTATGTGTGTGTCCACCAGTTACGCTGTTTGATTTATGGTATGGCTGGATTTAGGATGTTCTGAGAGTAAAACAGAAAACTTGTATGTCTACTAAACTCACCATCCATACTAGTTGGGGGTCCCTGCTGTACTCCAGGATAGGGGGCCTGAGGTTGTGGGGGCACTCCTGGCTGGGGGGCTGCTGATGAGGAGGAGTTGATGCTATCAGGGGTTCCTGAGCGCTCCTCTGGAGCAACAGCTGGGGGAGCTGCACAAGGGAAGTCACACAGAGGTTTTTGATTCTTCAGATAACAATCAAGAACTGAAAAAAAATCTGTGTTTAAAATGTCCTCCTCGGTTTTTGTACATGTTTGATTCTGTGTTATACCTGGGGCCTGGTCTTCACTCAGGCCAAAAGCAGAGATGACATTCTTGTTGACCTCGTCCTGGTTTTTTAATGGGTCGAAGGCTGACATGCTGGCTGCGCTGACAGGAGTAGCCTGTTTCACTGTGGGGTCTGCTGACACCACTTTGCCCTCTCGTCCGTCCACTGATTCTAGAAACAAAGCCACAGGAATTGTTTGTGAGTCAGCAGAGACAAAGACAGAATGAGGCAATGTGTGTACGAGTGTTTTCACAAACTGTTCAATTTAGAGATAAACACTGTCTAAGCCTCATAAAAGTCCTTATTTCAGTGTTTTATGTGATTAAAAAACTTGCCTGTTTACCTCAGTATGAGGCCAGATTGCAAACTCCAATCATCTCTATTTAATCATTCCTTGATTCAAACCAAATCTCACATGAATCTGTACTTGTTCAGAGAGGGGCAAGACTAAGCTTGGTGGTAAAAAAGCCTGTTTGAGTACAAAGAAACAAGAACATTGAAGAAACGTGGGCACACATGTCCTTTATAAACAGCTCTGGTCACAGTTATGATCAGTGTTTTTTCAACTGAAATGTTGCACAACCACAATCAACTGGTCAAGTTCAGCATGCTTTGTTATAAAAGGTACAAAGGTAGCATATTATTCCAGACAATTATTCATGTCAAAACGGTTATTAAATTATTCCAACAATAACCGGCTTTTGTGGACTAAGTTTAGTGCCAGAATTCTTGTGGGATGTAAATAAAGACGTAGAGACAAGGTTTAATCATTCAACAATAAAGATCAGAGGGAAGGGATGTACCAATGTAATAAACAAAAAGAAACATGTGCACGTGTCCCACAGAGAGTAGATTTTTAAAGCTGACAATCATATTTTTTTGACAAATACAGAACTCAAGCAACTTCTTTAAATGTAAAAACATGACATAAATTAATAGCTGGTTACACTGATTATTGTTATTTCTATTGTTGTAGGCCCGGTATGAGAGTTATGTGCTGTTTGGGTAGTAGCCTACTAGCTAGTTGTAGCTCCAGTTACAGACTACTGCCACAATGCCAAAATCCTCAACTACCCGGATGTAAAGAAGCACAAAGGTGTGTTTTGATGAAGGAAGTGGAGATGAAGTAGTAGTGAATGTGTCTAGTTTCACTTGCATGTGCCAACTGAACTTAGGCGAGGTGTTACCAGCTCACGCATATGCAAGGAAGACAAGAGATGGCTGGTGACGCTGGTACTGCTCACCTTAGCCAAAAAATTTGTTTCCTCTCAGATTCTATGATCTCGTATTTAGCTGTTAAATAAATTGTTTACATTTTTGACTGTTTCTTAAGGGCGGTCAAAAATGACTAGCTGGCAAATGTAAATTCAAAATTCCAGTGTAACAATGAGGAAATTAGCTGCTGTAGACAATGAAGTGTCTCGAAATGACCTCAACCTTAGCTGAACATTACTTCTTCAACACGTAGTCTGATAAAGTGCTTTAAATCACACTAAAACTGGATGATCAGTCAGTCTCACTGCAGCTATTATTTCAGGGTGAATGTTTGCATGTGTGTAGGATTTGTTACCACTGTCAGGTGCTGTAGCAGCCACACCAGGCTCTGTTGGGGGCTCCAGGCTGTCAAGGAGGTTGTTTACTTTATTCCTGAGCTCAATGAGCTCCCTGCGCAGGTACTTCACTTGACTGGACTCCAAAGGCCGCGGCTGCCCATTAACTGTAGATAATGAGAGATGAGGACAGAGGGGACAAGTGGGAAAAATTAAATGTTGTGTTGATTGTTTGGAGTGTGTCTTTTCCTCTGTCTCTGCACAGCTGACTCTACTTGTGTTTGACCTCAGGAAGGGTGATGGATAGAACACAGCTCATGATCGCTTTAGCAGAGCAAAACAACCGCCTTGTCTGTACCATTATTAATGGGGCATTTTTCTGCATTACTGGATCTGGATCTCATTAGCTGCACTCATTTCCCACTTGGGGTAATGTTGTCTTGAACTTGAACTTCTTGTTCACATAGATCTTGGACTACATCTGGGTAATAGCCATGGGTTCTTAAGAGTATCTGGGTCAGCCTGGAGAGAAATGTGTCAGCAGCCCGGCAGATAACCAAACCACAAGGAGGAAAATCAAAAAGGGATCGTAGAGGAATGATAGCTTGTGAAATTTATACAAAGACAAAACTATTTTGGTGAAAAACACTCACAAAAAGCCAAGAACACACAAACTGTTGTTTACTCCATGATACACTTCTTCCCGGTATAATGGAGTAAAAGGTAAATATATTTCTTCTAAATGTAAACAAAGTCATCAGCGGTAGAAACAGGAAAATAATGCGGTACCATCTGCTAACATTAAACAAACACAGATTTAAATTTTGCAGTTCATTGATCTGGAAAAGCTCTTGATTCTACACTAAGTGTGAGTATATTATGAACGATGATCTGCCTCAATTCTTTTGGCCCCACACCATAAATACCTCGGATTAGAGAGATCATCGATCACAGGGTTGCATCCACAAAGCCTTCTATTATAGCAGCTACATTGACAGAGGGAGTGAGGGCTTCATCCCCACACTTTGCCAGCTAGGTATTAAACTAATAGTGGGTCTGGGAAACGCTGGGCGTAAAGGGCGCTGATAGAGATATGGTGACGGATTCAAACAGACTGTAGACGCAAATCAGGATATTATTATTTTTTAACTGAAAGTAGTTAAAGTTATTCTGGAAGCTTTCTCTTTCATACATAAAATAATGACATTAAACATGAACACAAGCTCAGTAACATCACCCACTGGTTTCTTCTCTTATAAGCTTTAAGCTGCTCAGAGAGATCGTCCATCAGGAAAGGAGGGAACAGGAGTGATAGAATTCCACCTTGACGGATGCCATTAGTCACTGATAAGACTAATGAACTCCCACCCCATCAAGTCTGCATGGTTTGATTCAAAAACCAGAGATGAAGTATTCTTATCGGATAAGGAGGAAACCCTTCCATTTTGTTTTCTGCTCTTCTACCCGACTCTTAGTTTTCCTGAATTGCTTGTCTACTGTATATATCCGGACTGAATCTTTGTGAATGCACAATGACTTGATGAAATCAACTGAGAATTAATCAAATCTGTAGCAATCAACAGAATATCCCAATTATACTGTAGCTGCACGAGTCCCTTAAACTGCTATGAGGTTGATTTTCCAATAATAAATCGTCTCTGAGGAAAAAGTTTCTACCACAACAGAGTTAAAGTAAAACTTTACATTGGTTAACATGCCTTTGTCTTACAGGGTTCTCTACGTGGATGACACTAAACAGAGGCGCATGGGCTCATGAGACACTGCGCTAAGACACGAGGTTCCTGCTACTCCTGCCTGCTGTGAATCTCCACATGTGTTTGAGAGTATCAGTTCCACGTGAGGTCATGACATGTAATAATGAGCCAGGACTCAGGTTTTTTTGGGAGGGAATCCAATACCCTTTTTCTTTTTTTTTCAAGAAAAAGAAGAAAAATCTTAAGGTTCTTCAGCTAATAATAGCAGCAACAAGATGACAGCTTGACTGGAAGCAGAGCAAAAGGAACAACATCATGTTGTCATTACTGTTCTGAGAGTGAGCGTGTGTTACTGTTATTCTAACTTTGTGTGAGATGTTTGGAGATTTTGAATCCTGTTTAGGTTATTGGATTTGTAGGAGACAAGTCCATGGTGTGTCACGGTTTTGATTAATTTTGTTTTCCCAGCTGATGCCAATACCGACATTATTATTTCATATTTGAGACTCAACATCTTCAAGCTTGACTTTTATGGATCACTGCGTTCCCACACTGGAGCATCTCTACCCTAACTTTATTTCCTGGTGCAGAGGAAAAAACTTTGGAAATACTTTTGACTACATATCAGGTAAAAAACAGGACACATTTCAGGGTTTAGATATGTGCATCACACAAAATACTTCATATTCATGAGCCAACAAAGTCTCATGATGGATATGTAATTAGCAATAACATCAAAGTGCATACTATCTACAAAAAAACATTATGAAACAGTAAATCAAAGCGTGCCTTAAGAGCATGTTCATGTTTATCATATGTCTGTGTTTGGAGATGATGAAGTTTTCATCAAAGTGTGGTCATCATGGGCCATCAAGCCTAAGAGCTACCCATACCAGGATACCTGCTGTGTGATTAATGAGCTTCCCTTTCAAATCATACTGTTAGTCAAGTGTTGATTGATCTGAATGTATTCATAGCGAGTTTTGTAGATAATTTCTGTAAAGACAAAATAACAGCTGTATGCAACATGTCATTATACAGATAAAAGGCTTGTATCAGATGTGTAAGGGTGCAGCTAACCTGTGATTAATCCTAACATGGCCTACTCCCAAAGTCACAGGCCTCCAGGACTACTGGATGACTATGGACAAAGTTGGGCCTGCACTTCTTTTAAAGATTAGGATTAGGAACCTGTATAACTGGCCAGAAAGGGCACTTGTGAATGCATCCATGAACCGCCTGTCACTTCCTTTGTTTACTGAAGCAGTGCTAAGGAACACATGGAAATTCCAACCTAAATTAGTCACAAGGGAGTGCAGACAACTTTGCTTGAGGAGAGCTAAGGTTTGTTGTATGAAACTTAAACTGGACTGCCCTCCAGTGACTGTTAGTTGTAACAGCTATGGGAAACATCTTTGACTACAACTTTATCAATAAGTCATTATCACATGATACAAGATTCAAAGCATCCACAAGCTTAAGGTTTTTAATCCTTTGGGGTCATAGCATTATATGTCAAAGCAAGAGCAACAGAGATAAATTAAAATCTTACCAAACAAAGTGAGTTTGAGTATTCTACTGCACTGGATGGCGAAGGAGAGGTCAGAGCTGTCAAAGATAGTGATGAGGTCATCATCTAGAAAAAAGGACAAGGGACAGATTTCACTATAAGAGAAAAAAATCTATCAACAATGAAAAGTTAAAAGCCTGAATTCTCTTTTTTTATTTTTTTTATTTTAAGAAAGAGCCTAATTCCCAACTTACCCTCATCTTTATATTTAATGGTAACTTCATCATTACTCTGCAGCTTTCCCCTGAAGACACGCTGCATCATGAGCACCAGCTCATCATAAGTGATGTCTTCATTATGGATAGGGATGCGTCTGATGTCGTCTCCCAACTGGGCTTTGATGATCAGCTTACCGCTCAGGTCCAGCTGGCCGTTCATGGTGCCGTCTGACCTCTTCTGCTCCCACCACTGGACAGGGTCAAAAAGTTTTCCAACAATGAATTTGATAACAGGTCTGCTGGCTTTGCATCTAGTATGTCTTATGCCTATTTGAACCTGTTTGAAATTTAATCATGCAACTATGAGGGACAAATAAGCAGAAAAAATACGACCAAAAAGTAACATTCTGAACCAAAGTAAGAATTAGGAGTTTAATGCCAATCTCTCTGCTTGGTGGTGAAATATTTTTACTAATATGTACATCTAGTACAGTATTATTACAGTATTATAACATGTTAAAAAGCCACATGACGTCAATACATACTTTTCATCGCAGTGAGATTTAGTATCAGGAAAGACTGATGTCATACCAGTAGGTTAGGGGGTCAGGGAGATATTCATGATTAAACTGTGCTTGTTATGTAAACTGGGACTAAAGGACATCTCGTCATTTTCAGGACTTTATCTGAAAAGTATGTCTGAATCATTGATAGTCTTGTTCGAAGATGGTAAATATTTTTTCTCAGGCCACTTTTTTAAACATAATCTGAAACTGCATCAAAATTAAATCAGGACTGTTCTTCTGTAGACGAATGTCTGTGTGTTTAACTTGAATCGTAAAGTCTAAGGGTCAAACATAACTGAATGAGGTGGCACAGACTGTTCCCCTGTCAGACTTTGACCCAAAATATCAATCAATCTGATAAGTCCATCACAGCTTTTAACCTTAATGTATCTTTAGGCAAAACTAAAATGTGAACAAGATATCTGAAGTTAATAATCCCTTTGCAATGTTACCCAAAGTGTATGAAGTAACTACAATGTCCTACATATCTACTTACTTTAAGAGGTAAGGCAGCTTCAGTAAACCTCTGAAAATCTTTTGACTTTTCTTGCAGACTGTCTATATCAGCTGATCTTAAACTATGGGTCAACCAATTACTGGCTTGGCACTAAACTAATTTTATGCATGTGTGTTTACTTCCACCAATCACTGTTAAAACAAAATAATTAACCAGACAGTGCCCTACTTCAGCTTCATTGCATATGTGTCTTATCATCTAGGTCTGTACTGTTCACCCCTCTGTCACATTTACTGGTCCACCAAAGACTACTGCCACTTTGACCTACGTAAAACATCTGAGTACCTGTACTACCTGATAATACATACACAAACTTTATAGGTTTATAGTCTTCAGGTCTCATCCTTACCGCTATTGCACATTTTCATTTACAACAATAAGGTCACCCAAGTTTTATAAATCAATGTTTATACTATTACTGTTGATTGATTTTCATCATGGCTGTAAATGATTATCAGTTGTTGGTCTCAATTATTCATATTTGTCCAACTATAGATTGACCCTTATCCTAAACTATACTTTGTGACATAGGTCTGAAGACATCTTATGAACAGTATGCTTAAAGAATAATAACACTTAGAGAATAAAATGTAGGTTTAGGGATGCCTTCTTATCAAGTATTATCCTAACCCTGTTTTAAGTTAACTAGAAACATAAACGTTGTTTATATCATATGTTCAAAGCTTTTAACTTAACCATAGCATTCTGTAACATTCCACTTTATCTCTATCATGTCATGTAACCAGTAGACGGATTAACTGTGATGGTTGAGGCCTGACGATATACAACAGAGTGGATTTAAATCCAGAAATGCTGCGGCTTTGGCTCTCCACGCCAGATGAATAATTGGCAGGATGCTAAGGATTGTGATGTAGCTAGCATTTAGCATGTACACTTATAGTTAATGGGGACAACAGTAGGCTGATTTCCACCGAGCGGGCCTTGCTAAATTAACGATGAGGTTAACAGATTAAAACATGTTAAAGACACAGTCTAAAAGCTAGTGTAGAAAATGTTGATGTAACACTCGCTTAACCCTTGTGCACCCCTAGGGACCGTTTTGGTCCTTTGTAACTATACTTTTGTGGATAATTTTGGCTGTGATGATGCAAATGGCATGAAAGTTTGCCAAAGTGTGTAATTTTAGGTGCAATTTAATTTTTTTTCTTTTTTCTTCCTTTAACCTTTTTTGCATGTGAGCAATTTTTATACTTCAGTAAACACCCCTAAGGACCGAAACGGTCCCATTGACTCCCATTAAAACATGTTTTTTTCAATACACTGCCAATGCAGTATAATTTTTGGATTTTTTTTTTTCTCATGTACACCTATTCTTTGAGGGTCAAACTGTTTTTTTTTTTTATGCCGACCAGCAGATGGCGCCATTTTTCTTTTTTCCTGCCATACCCTTTAGAACCAGAGGGGCACTGTTTTCCCTTTGTCACAGAGCTGGTTTATTTCATGCATATAGATAGATAGATTGATAGATATATAATTTATTGATCCCAAACTGGAAAATTCTCATGTTACAGCAGCAAAAAAATACAAAATAGAATTAAATATAAGAAGAAATATGTACAATGCAGACTAAAAATACTAAATATATACATTGAATACAGGCTAAATATACTAAACATCTTTAGAGAGAAAATAAATTTAATAAAAACTATTTAGGTGTGCTTTTGGGACATCATGGATTATGTGCATGTGTTTTCATGAATTACTTGTGTGTGTGTGTGTGTGTGTGTGTGTGTGTGTGTGTGTGTGTGTGTGTGTGTGTGTGTGTGTGTGCATATGCAGCCATGAGAATAGCCAAAATCCTTCCAGAAACAGCGGCAGTTGTACAATCTGCACCTGCAGTTTCCTTCTGTGTGTGTGTGTGTGTGTGTGTGTGTCTGATTGTGTGTGTGTGATTGTGTGTCTGATTGTGTGTGTGTGCGCACGTGTGTGAGCAAGCTCATGAGGTTCATAGCGGGCACCTGATCAATGTGAGTGCGTAAAAGCAAGCGAGGAAGGGATGGAGTGTGAGTGTGTGTTTGTGTGTGTGTGTGTGTGTGTGTGTGTGTGTGTGTGTGTGTGTGTGTGTGTGTGTGTGTGTGTGTGTGTGTGTGTGTGTGTGTGTGTGTGTGTGTGTGTGTGTGTGTGTGTGTGTGTGTGTGAGATTGTGTGTGCGAGCGTGCGTGCGTGTGTGCGTGTGTAAGCGCACGCACGAGGTTCATAGCTGGCACCTGAAGAGGGAGGGCTTCATCAATGTGCTTACGTAAAAGCAAGGGATGGATGGATGGATGGTGTGTGTGTGTGTGTGTGTGTGTCTGATTGTTTGTGTGTGTGTGTGTGTGTGTATGTGTGCATGTGTCTGATTGTTTTTGTGTGTGTGTGTGTGTGTGTGTGTGTGTGTCTGATTGTTTGTGTGTGTGTGTGAGCGAGCGCACGAGGTTCATAGCAGGCACCTGATCGATGTGCGTGCGTAAAAGCAAGCAAGGGATGGATGGTGTGTGTATGTGTGTGTGTGTTTGAGATTGTGTGTGAGATTGTGTGTGCGTGCATGCATGTGTGAGCGCACGCACAAGGTTCATAGCGAGCACCTGAAGAGGGAGGATATCATCGATGTGCGTGCATAAAAGCAAGAGATGGATGGATGGATGGATGGATGGTGTGTGTGTGTGTGTGTGTGTGTGTGTGTGTGTGTGTGTGTGTGTGTGTAATACACTACAGAAAAAAAAAAATCTTTTCAAATTTTCTCATCAATGTTTACCAATCCCATGCTCTAATAATCAAAAGTTTAAAAAAACAATTTGCATATATAGGATGGAAAATAATTCACTAATTGTGTTTTTTGACTTAAGATAATATCAGGTTTTTACAAAAAAGACTGGCATTTATGGGGTTAAAATACACAACCTGAATAAAGTTTTGCTATTTATGATTAGGTTATAAGTCAATGATGGCAGCCAAAAAAAAAAAAAATTTAAATACATTTATTTAGACCATATTTTTACTCCAGCAAAATGGAGGGGACCGTTTCGGTCCCTAGGGGTGTTAATTGAAGTTTTTATTATTATTCAACACTACAGAAAAAATACAAATCCTTTCAAATCCATTTTCTCATCAATGTTTACCAATCCCATGCTCTAATAATCAAAAGTTTAAAAAAACAATTTGCATATATAGGATGGAAAATAATTCACTAATTGTGTTTTTTGACTTAAAATAATATCAGGTTTTTACAAAAAAGACTGGCATTTATGGGGTTAAAATACAAAACCTGAATAAAGTTTTGCTATTTATGATTAGGTTATAAGTCAATGATGGCAGCCAAAAAAAAAAAATTTTAATATATTTATTTAGACAATATTTCTACTGCAGCAAAATGGAGGGGACCGTTTCGGTCCTTAGGGGTCTTAATTGAAGTTTTTATTATTATTCAACACTACAGAAAAAATACAAATCCTTTCAAATCCATTTTCTCATCAATGTTTACCAATCCCATGCTCTAATAATCAAAAGTTTAAAAAAACAATTTGCATATATAGGATGGAAAATAATTCATTAATTGTGTTTTTTGACTTAAAATAATATCAGGTTTTTACAAAAAAGACTGGCATTTATGGGGTTAAAATACAAAACCTGAATAAAGTTTTGCTATTCATGATTAGGTTATAAGTCAATGATGGCAGCCAAAAAAAAAAAAAATTAAATATATTTATTTAGACCATATTTTTACTCCAGCAAAATGGAGGGGACCGTTTCGGTCCTTAGGGGTGTTAAGGGAAGTTTTTCTTAGGGGTGCACAAGGGTTAAACGCAGAGTCATCTGTCAGCGGCCCATACCAGCTAAACTAAAGGCTACTAACCTCTGCTAAACCACCTCACCACTCTGTCAGGAATAATAATATCAACTTTCCATTCAGAAGATAACACTCAAATGGTTAATCTCCTTTTAGATAGCTACATGAGTGACGATGAATCAGCCTGCTTTCGTTCCTGTGAATAGCATCCAGTCGTGAAAAACTGATCCCTGTGTGACCGGTTAGAGTTATATTAGTTACAATGCACCAATTCTCATCCTCATCCAGCTCGGGATAGACTTAAAGAGAGCATTTTTAGTCAGTAACTTCCTAGGAATCAGTCTCGACACCTGTTTGGGCGTGTTAGCCAAGCGTTAGCTCACTGCGTAATGAACCTAACATTAACAGCTAGCTAGCAAGCTAAACACTTAGCTAGCGAGCTAGCAACAGAATACCAAACATGGAGGGCATTAAAATTCAAACTAATCCACAATGTCAGTAGAGTCTGAACAAAATGTAGTTTTTTCTGTTACCTAAATCAGACGACTTGACCCCGCTGTATTTCACAGGTTCTCCCAAACCGTGAAAACAAATCTGACAGCTAGCCTAGCTTAACCCGGCCAGCATCAGGAAGTGTCCTCCAAACTGTAAACGTCAACCAGTACGTGGCACTCACTCTGCGCAAGCGCACATTAGCTGGAACAAAGTACGATATGATTAACTTGCTTCACTGCAGAGTAGGGATGTAACGATATTAAAATTTCACATCACGATTATTGTGACCAAAATTATCAAGGTTATCAATATTATCACGGTATTGATGAAATATGTTCAAAATGTTTAAAAAGTACTTATACACGCCATGAAATTATTTAACAAAGTTTTATTTTGAAAAAACAATCCAAATAACATGCAGAATGAACTTTTCCTTCACCTTAAATAACAGAGGAACGATTAGCTTAAAAAATTAAAGGGTCTTAAAAGAGCCAGAGGTAATCAACACTAGCACTAGTAATAACAAAGTACGACGTAATATGCCAGTGGCATAAACATTAGCATGATAACAAATTAATAAAATTTAAATAAGATTGCATTCCTTATAGTGCAAATTGTAAGAATTTTCAGTGTTAAAAAAGATCTACTCTTACAAGTATAACAGAGCAACACTACTATATGAAACAATACAACCACATGTAAAGACAAGGGGGAATGCAGGTGTTTAAAATAACATAAAATATGTAAATAATCAGATGAACCACACCGATTGTCCGTTTTCTCCAACCATAAGGTGCTGCTGCTGACTTTGTTCACTACTTAAGATTGACATGTAAAAATGTAAGTAAATTTACTTGGTGTGGTTTGAGTAGTAATCTATGAGGGGAAACGATGTGCCCACTGGCACTGAATAGCCTCTCGGATGGCACGCTGGTTGCTGGGATGCACAGAAGCTTCTTAGCAACCCTCACAACCCTTTGTAGAAGCCAAAATATGCCCAGACTTCGGACTTTGTTTTCTTTGACAGCGGAAAATCTCTGCAGAATTGCCCACAGAATTGCCCTCCTCCATGTTTACAAGTTGTATAGTGCGCAGAGCGCGCCTGTGTCTGAAGGACTGCTGTGTGCAGCTGCTCTTCTCAGCATTGAGCAGTATCACTGTGAGCTTTTCCAGAATGCGGCAATCAAACACGGTTTTAACAGTAATTAAAATTTAAAATGGTAGTACTAACCATCAGACACTTTACGACGGTTTATCATTTTACTGGTAATCGTTACATCCCTTCTGCAGGGTAAGTCTAACATCTAATGCATGGGGCAGAAGAGTCATTATTTCACTGTCGTTTTGTTTACAGTGCACATTTCACTTTGTATTTAGGCTTCATTGAAATGGAACTATGATTGATGATGAATGCAATATTAAAAACGAGTAAGACACAGGTGAGGGTGTTCCCACTTTATTTTTTAATGGGCTGTGATGGATTCTGAACATTTTCAAGGATTGCACTTCATGAGAGTCGTCACATCATCAGTAAAAGTAAACCTAACCTGGGTTAAGTATCAGATTTTAAACAAAATATATCTTTTGAAACTTAAATGTCTCAAACACATAAATATGTGAATTAAAAAAACAAACCATGATAATAATAACATTAATAATAATAATATGCTTATTTTATGTAACACTTTTCAGAACAAGGTTACATTGTGCTTTGCAACAAAAGTAAAATGAAAAGAAAAAAGAAACAAAAAGAGAAATGTGAGGAATACAAGGACTTAATAATAAATGCATAAACAAAACAGTGGTGATTTCGCGATATAAGAGATGTGAAAACACACAGATTAATAAGGAGATATAAGAGAAAGGTTTATGGCAGAAAAGACAAAGAAATAATGTAAAACAAAAAGGCCACAAAAAAACCATAGACCAGCATCAAACATGCCCGTGTCTTCCTGAATGGCCTGTTTGCAGTAGACAGAAAAGCTTCTCAGATGACTTAGTGATAGAGAGAATGAGCATTAGACTAAATGCATTGGTAATTGGTGATGATTTTATGCAATCCCTGAATATGTGTGCTAGACACCCATCATCTGCTTTTCATCAATAGTAAAAGTAAAAGGTCCAGGTATGTATATTGATAAGACTTCTTAATCTATTTTTGATAAATGTTTACAAAAGCAGCTGAAATTAAGGTCTGCTGTTACGTGATGATAAAATAAATAGCATATTTAGGACTTGTAATTTATGGATAAATACAGATTAAAAAAAAAGAAAGAAAAAGAAACAGCTTAGCCCAGAAACTGTTTTTCCAGCATTATTTCTTCTTCTTTTCTTGAGTGGTATCGAACCATGAGTCTAAAAGCTTCTTCATGTAATATAATTGCCAAGCATGCACTTGAACAGCAACCACCATAATGAGGTACATAACAGTCACTGCAGAGAAGCCAAAAATAAAGCGATAGGCCTTCCCATGGCGGTAGAGTTGCTGCGCTACAGGAAACATCTCCATTCCACCGTAAATGAGAGGAGCCACAGAGAACAGCCCTGCGCTGATCATGGATATGACCAAGTAACTAATATTGTTCTTTGGAAGTGAGAGGCTGCTGCAGAGGAGAGGGAGAAGGCTGAGAAGGTATGGGTACTCCCACTGGTACGGCATAGACACTGTGTCGTGTGACACCAGGTTGAAGTGGCTGACAGTCACCTGTGCTGCCACCAGCAACCAGATGAGAAGTTGAACCAGGTTTAGCTTCCGTACTTCTGACTTTAGGGAAGCACTGTAAAAAACATAACAGATAAACAAGATGATCCTTGTCGCTATTCAGTGAATATACAGGAATGAGTACTCATATTCTGTGACTAGTAATAAAAGCAGATGAATTTGCTTGCCTCATTTGGTAGTGTGGTGTCACCCTTTCTCTGGGTTTGCTGGGTTTGAAGTCACTTCCATTGGCACAAGCAGCTCTGGATCCGAGGCGGGATGTCATGATGAGAGAAATCTAGTAACAAATAAATCAAACAATATTTCAGATGCCAGTAATTTGCATTTTAAGCTATGTAATTGACTCTTTGCATATCGATTCAATTGTTTTGTTCATACTATATCCAGATCTGGTCAGTAAGTTTCCTGACCCAAGAGGATGTCTTGTTTTGTTACAAAATAACAGCCCACATTTATTCATTATGTCATATTTATCAATAACACAATTAGACAAACATATTTTCATAAAATTATAGCTTCGACTATGGCATGGTTTTAACTCTTTGCAAGACTTAAAAATGTATTATTAAATTTGTTGAATCTTATTTTTCCTTTGATTGAATGAGCCCACTTAGTCCTGCTAGTAAGCCTAACAATGGACCAAAAGGCAGATTTAGCAACACAAAAATATGGCATGAGGAGGAGGTAAAAACAATAGCGTCAAATTCAGCAATGACAAGCCAGACTGTTGTCTCGTTCAGATACTAGATAAAAAACAAACACCTTCCTGAAAAAATTATATATAAGACACGGAAAAGACAGACTTAGATATCGAGCTGAGCACGGCTAGCTTGTTAGCTGCTACAGCTAGCTTACCAATTCCACTGTAACCTTTGGACAAACACATACTACATGTTGAGACTGACAACTCTATTTTAAGCACAGGGAATATGATACTGTCGTGATTCCTGTTTGCTCCTATTGCTTACCGTTTCGTGTATCCTTACAGACCGGCTGAGCTCCTTCTCTGAACCTGTACCGACAAAGGATGTGGTACATGGATGTTGTAAAAAGCTCTGCGCATGCGCACAGTCTCCAACCACCGAGAGCCTTGCCCACCGCAGCATCAGCATCTCACTTGGCCGGCTGTCTGAACCGGAACCAGTACTTTTCTCTCAAGGGTTCATCTCGTGTCCCAGTCTTACATTTAAGTAATATAACAGACCTGAAGTGTCTTGAGTCGTCTAGAATAGTTTATTTTATAAAATTGTACAGAAGAAGCTGGTAAAGGGAGCATCTTGTGCATCATGACCCCAGTTTGTGTTGAGATTTGGCATCATCTGCATTACTGGATTTTACAAATTTATCAAACAAAAGATGGGCTTATTTATTGTACTCATATTATTTTGCTCCTGAGAAAAGATGACTGTTTCTTGTGCCCTGCATGTTGAGTTTTATTATCTTATTAGTGTGTCTATGCATCTGTCTAAAACATCACAAAGAAGTTGACGCCATTAAAAAAACAGTACACCAATTTTACATTTACACACAGTTCAAATAAATGCATCAGGTTTTGCCAAATAAATTGATTTTGTTTTCTATTGTCATATAAACAGACCCAACAACACTTTTAATTTAGACAATTTTTATTTAGAAAAACATGGAAAATTATAACAAACACAACACATACAGACATCAAATCTTTGGTTATGACAATATTGACAATATTAGCACCATGACTGTTTTACACTATGAGCACCATGGTTAAAATAAGAAATACATTGAAGTTTTCATTTATTCATTTCATTTGTCCTTGTCATTGCATGAATGTGATTAGCAAGCAATATAATAAATTACTAAAAGAACTGTTGTCATGCAATGCTGCAACATTCAATATTTTCTTTGAGACCACTGGTTGAACATTTTTTGCCCCCTCATAATTCTATCTGCAACACAAATGTGCTTAAGAAATCAAGATTCTGAGGATACCCCTATTTTTTAAAAGTTAGAAATTCATAGTAGACATGCTGTTTCATTAAAAAACAACAGCCTAATCCACAAGATGATTAATGTGGCATCCTGTTATGTTTAATAGGCTGCAATTCTAAATGATAATGAATTGAAGTTACAAATGAGTTGTAGAATATAAATGGTTAAATGGGTTTGTGTCTCAGATACTTATCACTACCACTTGTATTTAATCTTGCATTTTAGTTTTTGATACACTGTGTAATGCCAACTTTTCTCTACACCATGGGGCAATATTTTATGTTATGTATGGAGTGGTTTTCATAGTTTGGGAAACATGTATTTCTTTGACCTTCTTAGACCAGTTTTGCACAAAATAAAATAAACCTATATTCAAACATTAAAAACATAAAAATACATTCTTATTTTCTGATTCTCACTCATGGGAGTAATTGTCTGTCAGCACCATACATCATTCATGTGATTTTTTTATTCTGACTTATATTATGTGCTCCTATAAAACATTAGTTGCTTTTAAAATACTCCCCTGAACCAGTACAGCACTGCCTTCTTGAAGTTTGCTCCTGCTCTGTGTTTTGTTGACAAAAGGATTTCAGAGGAACTTCAGAGAGTTACCTATTGATGATCAAGGTAAGATTGAATACAATCAACCTTATCCCAAAACTCATTAATTTGCCACTTGTTTGACCAGGATGTGTTTCCTCCAAATATTTCAAAGTCTTGTCTGATTGCCACTATTATAAGCACACAGTAACACAGTAGCTGTTTATATAAAGCTATGGATGCAAAAACTTTTGTTTTTACCTAAAATGAATAAAACTTCATGATTCCTACTGTGTTTCACATTTACCACACAGGTTAGCTGCCGGTTTTGATCTGGGACAGGCTCTAAATTTGACACCGTCTCAACAGTGTTACAGGAATTGTGTGGGTTTTTTTTGCAATTTCTTTAGCATACATTAAATATGTCCTTTCTTTTTGTTCAGCAACAGGGCGTGTGTATCTTACAACCCTTTTCGGGGTTTCACACTCTTCTTTGTATATAATCCTTTTGTTCACCGGACATTTTTTTCTAATTTCCCTCAGTTATACAACTCTAAGGCTATACCGTATAGAAGTCACTGTATATTTACAGTCATACTAAAGATTTTCCGTTTGGTATCCCATATTTACTGCTCATCTCTGTTGACGAGATCAAAACTTGTTGACTTAAGTGAAACAAGTATGTTTATCTCAGGTGGATGTCGACTAAGTTTTCTTACATACACATATATGCTCCCTGTTTGTACTCACTGAAGATTGTACCATCCTGCAGTTTGTGGTTTTACATCGGATATAACAAATATCCAGAAAAGGAGGAGTGCACATACTGTCCTGCATAAAGTCCTGAGGCCTGATCTGAAGGCAACTGTATATACACAGTGTCCCCAGGTTGTAGAGGTAATACTGCACTCCCTGAAGCTTGATCCAGGAATCCCTTCTTATACTCATCGTATGTATACATCACTGGCTCGTTGTTCCTCATCAAAGCCACCCACACATTAGCTCCTTTGCAATGAACGTGGTAGGCAAAGTAATAAATGCCAGGCATGTCACAGGTGAAGATTCCTGTCTCAGGGTTGTAGTTTTGGCGACCATTGTACAAAAGCTTTTCAAAGACAACTGGGGTGCCCACAGGTGGAAAAGGAGTAGTTATTATTGCTGTGAATGCGGGCATCTCTAACCCATTGGCGCCCATAACTTCTGCCCCATTACCTCCATATTTGCCCTTCTTGCCATAACCACCAGCCTTAACACCATCTAGTCCAGGACCCATTTGAGAAAGCACTCCAGCCATATCAGGAGACAATCCAGTTTCCCCGGGTGGGCCTGGAGGTCCAGGAGGACCTGGAGGACCTGGTTGTCCGAGGGGTCCTGATGGACCCTCTTTGCCTGGTGGTCCTATGGGACCAGGTACACCTGGAATTCCCTCACCTGCAATGCCTGGTGGACCAGGAGAACCACTATCTCCTTTTGGCCCTGGAAGACCTGGAGACCCAATTGGGCCTGCTGCCCCATCCATGCCAGGGATTCCTTTGGGACCTTGAGGCCCTACTCCACCTGGCAGTCCACTTTGTCCTTTTGGTCCAGATAGTCCTGGAGCGCCAGGGTTACCTGGTAGACCTTTGTGCCCATTGTCTCCTTTGGGACCTATTGGTCCTGATGGACCCCTTGGGCCAGGCTCTCCCTGCTCTCCAGGAAGACCATTCTTACCAGGTAACCCAGGAGGGCCCCTTTCTCCCTGGGCTCCATCAAGACCTTTGGGTCCTCCTTCTCCACAGTCTCCCTTAGGACCAGGTGCACCTATACCTCCTGGTAGTCCGATTAAGCCAGGGGGACCTGCTGGACCAATTGGTCCAGGGGGTCCAAGCATACCAGGCAGTCCTCCGTGGCCCTTGTCACCTTTAGGTCCTGGGGATCCAGGTGGTCCACCCATACCTTTATCACCCTTTGGTCCAGGGAGTCCTGGTTTTCCAAATCCTGGAAGTCCAGGCTTTCCTGGCAATCCTGGTGGTCCTGGATGACCTTTTATGCCGGGTGTGCCTGGCTGTCCTGGCAGACCATTTTGACCTGGTTTCCCTTGACCAGGTAAACCTGGTGGGCCAGGCTGTCCTCCTTCACCAGGTAGCCCTGCTGGTCCTTGCTCCCCAGGATGCCCTTTCTCTCCTGGAGGTCCCTGTGGCCCAGGAGCCCCATTCAACCCTGGTTTGCCAAAACCAGGCAACCCCCTTGGACCAGCAGGTCCTGGAGGCCCTGGGAAGCCTTTGTGACCAGGTTGGCCTGGCAGACCCATCCCCTTGTCTCCTTTGGGTCCTGGTAATCCCGGTAGCCCTGGAAGACCTTTGTGTCCTGGCTCACCTTTTAGGCCAGGTTGGCCTGGTAGTCCTTGCACCCCTGGTTTACCAATTCCTGGTAACCCAGGTGGTCCTGGGGGACCTTGAGGTCCTGGCTGTCCAGCAGGTCCTTCTTCACCTCTTGGACCCATTTCTCCTAGGGGTCCAGGCTCCCCAACCCCTCCAGGCTTGCCTTGTAGTCCTGGCAAACCTGGTTTTCCCACGGCAGGTACTCCTGGTGGACCAGGTGGTCCAGGTCTTCCTGGGGGCCCTTGCTGTCCAATACCTGGAGGTCCAGCAGGTCCTGGAGGTCCATCTGGCCCAGGGGGGCCAGCTGGGCCTGGTTCTCCCTGAGGAATTCCCTCTGCACCACTTGGGATTGTCTGACCTGTGGTAAATGACAAAAACATCCAACCAGAAATGATGAATTGGCAGAGACATGGACTGAAATGTGGTTGTTAGATCCAAAAGGCAGATGCTCTCTTTTAAACTTTACAAAAGCGCATTTACAAAACGTTTCCAATATCAAGAAGAAAAAAAGGTTTTAACGTACATGTAGAATTCATAAGAATCTGTACTTCATTATGTCAGTTTGACATAATATTCTTAAAGATTTATATATACTGATGATGGAAAATGTTGGTTTTTACCTTTGTCTTGACCACCATTGTAGCCGCCCCCTTTACGAGGATTTTCTTTGCCCTTGTGCATCGGCATTTGCGGTAGCTCCTTTCTGTAGTGTGGATACTGCATGTAGGGCACCTCTTTGCCAAGGTACTGCTGTTGGGGATAGCCTTCCTTGCCCATGCCCATGTGTTGAAGGTGCTGCATTTGCTGGTATTGCTGAGGGTGTTGCTTGTGTCCATAGTATGCCCCAGCACTTACATATGTGAATACTGCAAGCTGTAGCAGTGCCAGGATGAGGGGGACAGGGAGGGGAGGCATGGCCAAGGCCTGTAGGAAAAAAATGAGAATGTTATATTAGTGTTTAGTTTTTCTAAACCTGCTGAATCATTTAAAAACAACATTGCTTCAGTGACAGTTAATCACTTTTGAAGTTACACTGACCCCTGTCCTGTTGAAAAGTGTAGGGGAAATTATGCCATGCTTTGTCGCCCTCTGCTGGATACATATTTGAACTACATATAAGTCTTGTGATCAGGGTGGCAGAAGCAGCAAAAATGATGGAGTCTTTCTGACTGACAACTATCAATAAGAAAGACCTCAGCCCACTGTAACAACTCCACTCAGATATTTTGGAGGGGATGCTGCAGACTTTTCCTGACTTTGGAAAGTTTTGGACATTAATTTAACTGGGCTCAATATAACTCTGCTTATAAATGCCAGAGATACAGTATTATATTCAAAACCACAGGGAAGGACTTTACAACTTTTTGCTGAACAAAAAAAACAACAACACAACAAACAAACAAAAACAAACGAAGAAACAAAAAACATCTGTGGACATCTTTTGCTTAATAGAGTAAATTGTTGGTGGTTTTTTAATATTCTGTCAGAAGTGTTGAGCTTTTTTTTTCTTTCTTTTTTTTTAATGTGATTTCTTTGTTGATTTGAATGCTTATTTGGCTAGTGACTCGTGGAAATAAGCCATTCTGTTTTTTTCTTTTATATATACAGCCCTGAGAAAGAAGCTGTGTTTGTTGACAGTATGTAAAGTGTTAGCGACTCCATGATAAGCCAGGATAGGCTGCGTCCACAAGAGGAAGCCACATTAAATTTAACGAAGCAACCTCAGGTTTCAACATAAGCAGAATCAGAGTGACGCCTTTGAAGATGCTGGCTTCAGTGCTTCAAAAACCAAAACAGAAACTTGCAGATTTAACCTGCCAGGAAAAATCCCTATAGTTGACAGTTCCTGTTTAATATTCTCTTCTTTTCAGTTTAATTTAATGTCCGGTATAACAAATTCATTTCTGGATAAAAAGCTGTTGTCAACTTGTGCAGTTCAGTTCTCTGCTTTTAATAATGAGAAATAAAGTAGCAAAGGGGATTGGCTTTACTCAAAACTGTAATTTATCAGTTTATTCTTCATACAGGCCTCTTCCTCTCAGTCTCAGTCTTCTCATCTTTTGCCACACTTCCCATCCAGGTTATACTGCAAACCCAAGTCCAGTTTTATTCATTCATCTCCTCTGTAGTTTTTCTGATTCACATCCAAAACCACATCCTCAGTGTCCACTCCATCACTGACTCTTTGGATCTTTGCCGGCCTTTGACCTTTTCTCAGTGGACTGGTGATTTTGACATGGCGGTGCCACTGTCTCCCTTGATGAGAGCTGGCCTTTGAAAGACGTAAAGCTACTTTCCACAATGACAGAGGCCAGACATGCCAAAGAGACCAGAGGAATCTCGCTGTGTTTTTTGTTCACAAAAAGAACTAAAACCTGTATTATAATTATTATTATTTTTGCATAGAAGGTGGCAGCATACAGACACTAGTAGGGTCAGAAATAGTGATTAACTTATTCCACATGTTCTAAGGCTCAAATGTTCAAGCAGACAGAGAAACATACACTTCCTGTGTAAAAATAGGTGCCAACTGCTCTGCCCACAGGGGGGCGCCAATGTTGACACAAATCAAAAGTTCACCACAGGAGATTTAAACAACACAGATTTGTAAAGCAAAGTATAGGAAAGACAGGTTAGAAATATGAGCAAAATTACTTTGACTTATGATATATGATGTTTGATAAAACAATAATAACTGTAATTTTGTATTTATAATAGTAATAATAATAACAACAACAACAATAACAATAATAATAATAATAATGAAAATAATATTACTGATTATTATCATTATTGTTATTATTATTATTATTATTATTGTTGTTGTTGTTGTTATTATTATTTTTTATTATTATTATACAATTAAAACAATAGTTCAGTAGAAACTTTAAATGTGGGTTTATAAAGTACAGACGTATATTGTAAAACATACACTTATACTCCACAGATGGCCATGTACATACGTTTCAGAAAACAAATGTGACAGCTTTATTACTTTGTAGAAATGTGAAAGGTCAGGGTGTGTGTTTTCAAAAACTTCAAAATATTCAGAGGAAAGTTGCAACTAGAGATCAGAGGCGCCATGCAGCGCCGGTCTGTACAGTGTCAAACAGCAACACCATGAAGTTGTCATAGTGACCACAGAGTGATGGAAACACCTCCTGTCTTTACCTGTTGAGTATCTCTCCAACACATTATTCTACAAAAGTGATACAACCACAGGGACTTGTTTACACAGCCTGAACACTTTTAGCTCTTCACCTTTACTTTCTACATTTTAACTGACATAGAAAAAGAGAGAGAAACAAACGTAGCTATAATATCGAAACATTTTATACCAATACACTAAAAAGCTAGGAGTATCATTGTGGTTGTCAGTAATCCAATATGAATGTGCCACAGTGGTGAGAAGTCGTGAGTAACATGTTATGAGCTGTTTCTCACACTCGTAAGATTGATGGCTTTAATTTTTGTCACACTGGTGTTAAACATTTTGGCCCAAACAGTAATGAATCAATGACAAGCTGCCATTTGTGACAGAGACTGAACAGGAACAGCAGTCATGTTGTGTCATTCAGTTCACTCACTTTCCAAATGGTTTTGTTTGAAATAAACTTGCATTTAGACAATATTCAAGATCACTCCAGCCCCAGCTTCTGTGTAGGTATTATTTGGCTCTACAATGGGTCAAAACAAGCAACAACCTCCACTGTTAAATACAAATGACAATGCAGAAGTAGAAAAAGACCCTTGAGTGTCACTAGAGGGTGACTTCAAGAGTCAAGGCAACCTCATAAGCACACATGTTAATGTTACAGGCATTTAGTAGCCGCCTACTAGGAGGCTTGAGACCCATCTCAGCACTTTATTTTCATCTGTTTCTAGGTTGATCAAGGGTTTAGTGATTCAGCATTTCCCACATACAAATGTTGAGCTTTGAAACACATTTTCAGAAACCAATGGCGGACGACTTTGAAGCTATACCTCAATTTTTATACAGTCTGTGACCACTACATCAAAATGGGAAGCTTATTTTTCTTGCCACATCTGTGACTTATGTGTGTTCTTGATAAAATAAGTCTGTGTCTGCTAGACCACATTCCCGTGATAGACATCTTCCTTTGGAAAGAGTGGGAAGATCAAATCATGTCTACTGCTGTGCCTGAGGTTGTAAACCATATGAAAGTCAAAAGCCTGACAAGTAGCTGTCATTTCATTGCTTTCTAAATGATAAGACGCTGTAAATACGTACATTGGACTGTGAAAATCCAGAAAAACATCAGACCATTTGTGGATTTGTTTGACAGAAAACAAATCTGGTGTACAAGTACAGTCTCTCATTCTGGCACCAGAGTAAGGTTCACACCTCTATTAATGGAAATAAGTGATGTATTTTAATTTAACAGGTGACACTGCTCACTTTTAACTTTCACCCAAATGCTTCGATGGTTGTCACAGTAACAGGAAGTTGCCAGTGAATGGGGTAACTCATGAACCATAACACGGATTTCTGATCATACAGTGCTTAAACTGCATGTTGGTGGCTTACAAACATGAAGTAACAACTGAGTGACATAAATATTAGTGCTTCTCAAGCAATCAGCCACAAAAACAACAACAACAACAAACCATTTTATTTGTGTTAATGTGTCATCTTTCTCATCAAGTCTTTAAGTTTAAAACAAAACTGCCAAACTGGAAAAGTCTTAACGCTGTCACCAGCGCTATGACCTACTGTCTCAATGGCGTTACTCTAAAGACTTCACCTCAATGTGGCTATGAAAGGGTCTTATTAGTTGACATGATATTGTTTAACCCAAAATCTTTTTAATGAGTCCACCACAGGTGTCCGCTCCAGACTTGGAAGTGGAATTTATATCAGCTGCAGTCTTGAGACAAGTAAGACAAGATATTGAAAAAATACAGAAAACAGCCTTTGGCTACCAAAGCACGCTTTCATTTATCACTGATAAATAATGGATTGATGGGCTGAATTTGTCTGTTCTTCTGTTGTTAATTTATTTGATACTCTGTGTTACGCCAGCCACTCCTATGATGTTACAGTAGGTACATAGTAGGAGGGTTTAAATCTCCCCAAACTCTGAAGTACGTAGCTCTGCTATGGTTTCAAGAGTCAAAAGTGTTTTCAATAATTTAAAGAAAATCAAGAAAAGAATGAATGAATGATAAATTTTGTTTCTGCTGGACAGATTGAAATACGAGATAAAAGGAAACCAGTGTATAAGTATTCTGTCTCTGAGTGTTCAAACAAAAATCAATTAAAAGCAAAACTATGAAAAACACAAAGACACAAAAGTCTTATTATACTCCAGAGCAGTTTGGACAGATGTGGTCTAGAATATTACTGTTAATGCTAATATGCACCCTCATGCACAAAAACACACACGTGCACAAAATGATTTCGACACAGGACATCCAGCTCACACAGCTTAGGCCACGTGTGAGATTCCTCAAAAGCAATTTGTAATCTCCTGTCTATTCGACTGTGATGGAACTATTAGCTCTAAGTCTCCAGACACATCTGTCTTTCCTCTCCCCGGTCAGATGGAGACATCTCCTCTCTCACGTCTCCTTTTCTTCCTGTGTCTCTGTGTGAACAGAGCGATGCCTGTTCTGCACAGGCTTCACTGTCTGTCTCATTTCTGTCTGTTTGCCCTTACCGGCCCGTTTTTTCCTTTGGGTACAACCCGAGTCATTGACCTGAAGCTTCTCTGTGACCGTGCAGAGCAGTTTGGAGGTCAGAGGCCGGAGACTGGGTGTCTCTTTGAACCACCTTGCTAACAGAGAACAGAAAGGTACTGCAGAGAAGTGCACTTATGCTGAATTGTGAGAAGAATTAATCCCATTCTGAGTGAAGATTTAGAGCTGGCTGTTTAATCTTTTGGTGTTTAAGCTGTTCTCTCACACTCTCTTCTGTATTTACTTTCTTCAGGTCTCATGTTAATATGTGTAGAAAGAAAACATTACAGCATTTAGCACCCAAACCCTTCACTTATTCATCCAAATTCTCTTTTTGCACATAACACTCAGCCTGACCAAAAGCTGGTGTTAAATTCCCTCAAACATGTCTGGCAAACCACTTTGCCTTCCTTCCGTCACCGCAAAACCATTTACAAATTTAACCTTAAGCCAGCGGTGCTCATGCACTCAGTCTTGGTAAGCAGCCTGATGTTGTGGTTTCTCAGTGAAAGGGAAAAACATTTGCAGCTCCTCGGCTCCCTAAATGCAGCTTTTATCGCAAAGCACACCTCGTAAAATTTACACCTCCTCAAGTCACGCTGCAAACGTCCCCGTTCAAACAAACCCCATACACAAAACCAGGGGAATACAGCTACTCCACGCACACATACACACACATTCTCTGCCACAGCTGTGCAGCTAAATGACCAAAGTGTTTGCTCCTTTCCCTTCTCCTCTGCCCGGCCATTATTCTTCCTTTTCATTGGACCCCTTTGTCCTGTGCATTCCTGAAGTGTGCTGAATGATGTGTACAGCAGGGTGCAATGTTGTATATGCACCAAACACACAAATATATGCACACACTCTCAAGGAAAGGTTACTTCTTGTGCACAGAACTACCTGTAATTAAGGTTTTCATCTCCTGCAGCTCTTTGCATGCACTGGGGTCACTGTGAGGACCATGCACTGATGTTATACCATGATGTGATGTAAAATTTGATGAAAAAAGGTCTCAGAAAAAAAACAAAAAACTTTTGCACAGTTTTAAATTTTAAGAAAAAGTAAGTGAAGATTTTTTGTGGATAGTACTTGCAATGCTGAAGTCCTCTTTAAAAAATAGTGTGTAGTATTTTTGCTCAGTATGATTTCTACTATCGTGTTTGTTCCTGATTATTATGCACACAGATAAAGTCAGAGATATGCAAAATCAAAACAACATACTGATGATGAAAAGAGCCCTAATTTTACTCTTGTAAAATCAACAATAATTTGAGGATTAAAGACACCTTACATGTTCTTTTTCTCTGAGGAGAACGGTAGAATCATGTTGATACTGCAGAAAACAAAAGTGCTGTTCAACTCATACCTGTATACTC